ACTAGATAGAGATGTGAAGACGATGTAATCAGTTCATCCCCCTTTGTAGTCGTAGAATTTGAGGTTGTCAGTTCCCTCGGCCTGGGAAGTTTCGTTCCATAGTTCAGGAAACTATCCTGAAGATCAAGCGAAGTGCGGAGACTTATATTAGTCGGTAAGGAGAGGGTGCCGGAGTAGTAGTTAGTAGTAGTATTGTGAGAATGTGACCACTGGAGATCATGTCCTCTCAGATCCAGCCTTCTCACTTGTAGGAAATGCTTGTCAGGTGTTTTCTGTACCATGGAGTTGGTTCATGTGTTGCAAGTGTCATGATCAATCGATGATAACAATTAAATTGTATTTACCAAATTTCGATAGGGTTTTTCAGGTCGTATACAGACAGGATAATTCAAACATGTTAGTCTATCACTTGTAGTCGAGAAACTTTGTGGTTGTCAGTCCCATCGTAGGTTCTTCATAGTCGAATATCTAAAATAAATTGAAATATGGAGTTGAGAAGGCTGGAGTTGTAGCAGGGACATGTTTCAGTCTCTCATGGTCCACCCATTCTCACTACAAAGCTTCACTGTACTCAGCACCATGTCTTCTGACAAGATGAACATCAAATGTATACAATACCGACAGGTTGTTAGGTAAGACACATAGCAACAGTTAGACAACTTTATTCCGAAACGTTTCGCTACCAGTAGGCTTCTTCAGTCGAATACAGAAATAGGCAGGAACAGTAGAGATGTGAAGACGATGTAATCAGTCCATCACCCTTGTAGTCGTAGAATTTGAGGTTGTCAGTCCCTCGGCCTGGAGAAGTTCAGTTCCATAGTCAGGAACTATCTGAAGATCAAGTCGACAGTGCGGAGACTTAAATACTGTCGGAAGGAGAGGTGCATAGTAGTAGTATATCTAGTAGTAGTGAGAATGTGACCACTGAGAGATCATGTCCCTCTCAGATCCAGCCCTTCTCACTTGAAAAGCTTGTCCAAGGTGTTTTCTGTACAAGATGCCATGTGTGCAGTGTCTGACAAGATGAACATCAAATGGTATACAATACCGACAGGTTGTTAGGTAAGACACATATGCAACAGTTAGACAACTTTTTTCCGAAACGTTTCGCCTACACAGTAGGCTTCTTCAGTCGAATACAGAAAATAGCGGAACAGTAGAGATGTGAGACGATGTAATCAGTCCATCACCCTTGTAGTCGTAGGAATTTGAGGTTGTCAGTCCCTCGGCCTGGAGAAGTTCAGTTCCATAGTCAGGAACTATCTGAAGATCAAGCGACAGTGCGGAGACTTAAATACTGTCGGAAGGAGAGGTGCAGAGTAGTAGTAGTAGTAGTAGTAGTAGTGAGAATGTGACCACTGAGAGATCATGTCCCTCTCAGACCAGCCCTTCTCACTTGAAAAGCTTGCAAGGTGTTTTCTGTACCAAGATGCCATGTGTTGCAGTGTCTGACAAGATGAACATCAAAATGGTATACAATACCGACAGGTTGTTAGGTAAGACACATATGCAACAGTTAGACAACTTTTTTCCGAAACGTTCGCCTACACAGTAGGCTTCTTCAGTCGAATACAGAAAATAAAGGCTGGATCATGAGAGTGGATAAACTCAGTGGTACATTCCTCACTTGTATCTAATTAGTTCTCCTGGGCCCTAAATCTCCTTCAGGACAGTATTGAAGTCGTCCGCACTGTCGAGGGGTCAGATTTATGATAGTCTATATGGAAACGAACTGTCCACCGAGAGACATGTCCCTCTAATTCTAGACTTAAAGGGTGAAGGGACTGTACAAATCCGTGTTGCTTCACAATCATCAAAGGGTTCTACCGACAGGTTTTGTAATACACTGAAAGAAGCTAACTTGTATTCGAAACGTTTCGCCTAAAGTAGTTCTTCTGTCGCAATACAGTGGCAGTAACAGTAGAGATAAGTCGGTATAGTCATCACCATTTTGATGTTAATCTTTTGTCAGACCCTCGACCATGGCAATTTCTTGTTACAGAAAAAAACACTTGGACACTTTTTCGAAGGAGAGGGCTAGTATCTGAGTAGGACTATGATCTCCACTGGACTTTCCCTCTCAATACTACACTTAAACTTCCTGTTTTCTGACAGTATTTTAAGTTCTGACAAGTGCTGCAATGGTTCAATTACCGACATGGAGGTGAACTTCTCACAGGCCAACTTTATTCCAACCTACAAATTCTTATCGAATACAAGGGGTAAAATGGGACTGATTAATCGTCCTCACATCTAGTTTAGTGTTCCCTGGCCTAATTCTGTATTCGGACCTGAAGATAAGCGACTGCGGAGACTTAAATATTCGGAATGAAAGTGTCTAATGTTAGATATAGTGTAAATTGACCTAAATCAATGTCCCGTATTGATACACCTTTTGATGTCATCTTGTCAAGAACTGCCAAACACATGGCATTCGGTAAAAGAAAACACACTGGACATGCTTTTCAATAGAAGGGTGGATCTGAGAGGACATGATCTCTCATGGTCACATTTCACTACTACTACAAATTTACTACTACTACTCTGCACCTCTCCTTCAGACAGTATTAAGTCTCCGCACTGTCGCTTGATCTTCAGATAGTTCCTGACTATGGAAACTGTCACTTCCAGGCCGAGGACTGACAACCTCAATTCTAACGACTACAAGGGTGATGGATGATTACATTCGTCTTACATTCCTACTGTTCCTCCCCTATTTTTTTGTATTCGACTGAAGAAGCCTATGTTTTAGGCGAAACGTTTCGGAATAAAGTGTGTCTAACTGTTGCATAAGTGTCTTACCTAACAACCCTGTCGGTATTGTATACCATTTTGATGTTCATCTTGTCAGACACTGCAACACATGGCATCTTGGTCGAAAAACCTTGGAAAGCTTTTCAAGTGAGAAGGGCTGGATCTGAGAGGGACATGATCTCTCAGTGGTCACATTCTCACTACTACTACTACTACTACTACTACTCTGCACCTCTCCTTCCGACAGTATTTAAGTCTCCGCACTGTCGCTTGATCTTCAGATAGTTCCTGACTATGGAACTGAACTTCTCCAGGCCGAGGGACTGACAACCTCAAATTCTACGACTACAAGGGTGATGGACTGATTACATCGTCTTCACATCTCTACTGTTCCTGCCTATTTTCTGAAAACACCTTGGACAGAAGAAGCCTACTGTGTAGGCGAAACGTTTCGGAATAAAGTTGTCTAACTGTTGCATATGTGTCTTACCTAACAACCTGTCGGTATTGTATACCATTTTGATGTTCATCTTGTCAGACACTGCAACACATGGCATCTTGGTACAGAAAACACCTTGGACAAGCTTTTCAAGTGAGAAGGGCTGGATCTGAGAGGGACATGATCTCTCAGTGGTCACATTCTCACTACTACTACTACTACTACTACTACTCTGCACCTCTCCTTCCGACAGTATTTAAGTCTCCGCACTGTCGCTTGATCTTCAGATAGTTCCTGACTATGGAACTGAACTTCTCCAGGCCGAGGGACTGACAACCTCAAATTCTACGACTACAAGGGTGATGGACTGATTACATCGTCTTCACATCTCTACTGTTCCTGCCTATTTTCTGTATTCGACTGAAGAAGCCTACTGTGTAGGCGAAACGTTTCGGAATAAAGTTGTCTAACTGTTGCATATGTGTCTTACCTAACAACCTGTCGGTATTGTATACCATTTTGATGTTCATCTTTTTCAGACACTGCAACACATGGCATCTTGGTACAGAAAACACCTTGGACAAGCTTTTCAAGTGAGAAGGGCTGGATCTGAGAGGGACATGATCTCTCAGTGGTCACATTCTCACTACTACTACTACTACTACTACTACTCTGCACCTCTCCTTCCGACAGTATTTAAGTCTCCGCACTGTCGCTTGATCTTCAGATAGTTCCTGACTATGGAACTGAACTTCTCCAGGCCGAGGACTGACAACCTCAAATTCTACGACTACAAGGGTGATGGACTGATTACATCGTCTTCATCTCTACTGTTCCTGCCTATTTTCTGTATTCGACTGAAGAAGCCTACTGTGTAGGCGAAACGTTTCGGAATAAAGTTGTCTAACTGTTGCATATGTGTCTTACCTAACAACCTGTCGGTATTGTATACCATTTTGATGTTCATCTTGTCAGACACTGCAACACATGGCATCTTGGTACAGAAACACCTTGGACAAGCTTTTCAAGTGAGAAGGGTGGATCTGAGAGGGACATGATCTCTCAGTGGTCACATTCTCACTACTACTACTACTACTACTACTACTCTGCACCTCTCCTTCCGACAGTATTTAAGTCTCCGCACTGTCGCTTGATCTTCAGATAGTTCCTGACTATGGAACTGAACTTCTCCAGGCCGAGGGACTGACAACCTCAAATTCTACGACTACAAGGGTGATGGACTGATTACATCGTCTTCACATCTCTACTGTTTCCTGCCTATTTTCTGTATTCGACTGAAGAAGCCTACTGTGTAGGCGAAACGTTTCGGAATAAAGTTGTCTAACTGTTGCATATGTGTCTTACCTAACAACCTGTCGGTATTGTATACCATTTTGATGTTCATCTTGTCAGACACTGCAACACATGGCATCTTGGTACAGAAAACACCTTGGACAAGCTTTTCAAGTGAGAAGGGCTGGATCTGAGAGGGACATGATCTCTCAGTGGTCACATTCTCACTACTACTACTACTACTACTACTACTCTGCACCTCTCCTTCCGACAGTATTTAAGTCTCCGCACTGTCGCTTGATCTTCAGATAGTTCCTGACTATGGAACTGAACTTCTCCAGGCCGAGGGACTGACAACCTCAAATTCTACGACTACAAGGGTGATGGACTGATTACATCGTCTTCACATCTCTACTGTTCCTGCCTATTTTCTGTATTCGACTGAAGAAGCCTACTGTGTAGGCGAAACGTTTCGGAATAAAGTTGTCTAACTGTTGCATATGTGTCTTACCTAACAACATGTATCATGACTAACAAGAAATGGTCAGGATCCTGTGCTCTTATAAGTTTTTATTTAGAATTTTTAAGCATTTATGGATGATTTCTATGTAGTAAATTATATAGATTTGTAACAAGGATAACCAAACAAGTCATATTTGTTCATACATCTTTCTCCAAAAAACCTGACATTAATTTAATATATTTAATGTTCACCAAGATAATATTTTGTTCGGATTTTTAACTTACTCCTAGAGGATTAGCACTGTATGACCCCTGTGGTTTAGCGCTTCTTTTGTGTATACCTAAATAAACTTAGTTATACATAGCAGCATGTGTAGAGAACCTAGAATAACCTCAAAAAAATATCAATGACTTGTTTTCTTGCATCATTGGGCACTCATTTCCATTGGGGTTTAATGCATAACAGTCGACTACCAGGTACTTGTGCCTAAGTAAGCTTATAATTCAACAAAAAGCCAGCTGTACAAAATGATTACTGAAGCAAGCACTAGATGACCTCCCCCCCCTCCCCACTCTAAAAGTTTAAACTTTCTCAAAATATAAAACATTCATACTACTGTGCATACTATATATACAGGGCAGTCAAAGCAAATATAAACCCAACTCTGGACCCCTTCCTGGAGAACTGTATTACAGCTCATGAACATAACACAGGATACAATTACCTTTGATATTCCCTGTGTAGGACTTTCAGTATTGAGTAAAAACACAATACTCATAAAATGTCCCAGGTTTTGAAACAATCCGCCAGAATATTCCAAAGGTTTTCTGTCTTCCAACAACTTCAAAACTACTGTTAAAAAGGACAGCCTTTCCTTAATGTGATTCAAGACAGCAATATTCTATATTCAGACATATTGAAACCTGCTGGTTGAGTTTTTGTTGATTATTGATCCCCTTGTATTTCTCGTTAATGTTATTTTTTCTACCATATATTGTACCTTATGTTTCAACTCCATTCATTCAGACATAGCTGTTATACCAAGAATTATATACAGAATAATCATTGTACCTAACTACTTGTATCTATGTCTCAAAAAACTCTGTTGCACTATTTTTTATTGTAAGTTCATATATTTGTTCTAATCACCCTTTTACAACTCTGCAAGGCTCCAGGCAGACATAAACCAAATCTTTCAGTGGGCTGCAGAAAACAATATGAAGTTCAACGATGAGAAATTTCAATTACTCAGATATGGTAAACACGAGGAAATTAAATCTTCATCAGAGTACAAAACAAATTCTGGCCACAAAATAGAGCGAAACACCAACGTCAAAGACCTGGGAGTGATCATGTCGGAGGATCTCACCTTCAAGGACCATAACATTGTATCAATCGCATCTGCTAGAAAAATGACAGGATGGATAATGAGAACCTTCAAAATGAGGGAGGCCAAGCCCATGATGACACTCTTCAGGTCACTTGTTCTATCCAGGCTGGAATATTGCTGCACACTAACAGCACCTTTCAAGGCAGGTGAAATTGCTGACCTAGAAAATGTACAGAGAATCTTTACGGCGCGCATAACGGAGATAAAACACCTCAATTACTGGGAGCGCTTGAGGTTCCTAAACCTGTATTCCCTGGAATGCAGGCGGGAGAGATACATGATTATATACACCTGGAAAATCCTAGAGGGACTAGTACCGAACTTGCACACGAAAATCACTCACTACGAAAACAAAAGACTTGGCAGACGATGCAACATCCCCCCAATGAAAAGCAGGGGTGTCACTAGCACGTTAAGAGACCATACAATAAGTGTCAGGGGCCCGAGACTGTTCAACTGCCTCCCAGCATACATAAGGGGGATTAACAACAGACCCCTGGCAGTCTTCAAGCTGGCACTGGACAAGCACCTAAAGTCGGTTCCTGACCAGCCGGGCTGTGGCTCGTACGTTGGTTTGCGTGCAGCCAGCAGTAACAGCCTGGTTGATCAGGCTCTGATCCACCAGGCGGCCTGGTCACAGACCGGGCCGCGGGGACGTTGACATCCGGAACTCTCTCCAGGTAAACTCCAGGTATCGGGTAAAAGGACACAGATGCAACAAGTGTGACATTTTATTGTGGCAACATTTTTGCTCCCCAGGAGCTTATTCTAGCAGTAATGTCTTGACAAATAATAATAATATATTTGTTTCTACAAGTACATATACAAGGTATACAGGCCTAGCTGACATCAGTGACATACTACAATATAGAAAGCCACTTGTTATGCAAAGCATTCTGGGCAGATTAGATCAATTTTGTCCCAGGATGCAACCCATACAAGTCGATTAACACCCGGGTACCCATTTTACTGATGGGTGAAAATGGACAGCAGGTGTCATATGGAAACACATCCTAATGTTTTCCAGCCATACTGGGATTAGAGCCCCGGACGTCAGTGTGTAAGAGCTGAGTGTGCTAGTGCTCAAGTTCCAGGAGACCAAAATGTTGCCACAATAAAATATTGCATTAGTTGCATCTGTGTCCTTGTACAGTACCTAACGTTTTGTCGGTAATTCTACCATTCTTATGAATTATGTCATAGCCTGTATCAGTTTTTACCTTTCTGTTAATACCATTTATAGGCTCAAAAAAATCACCAGTTGTACTATTTTGGTTGCTACATGATCAGAGAAAGTATCCTCATAATTCATGCCCAGCCTTCTCTACCTCAGTGCATGCAGAAGATATAATGCAGTGGTCATAAAATTGTAATGCAGCAATATATAAAAGTATGCATAGGTGAATGTGCATTTTTGTGCATCTGCTAGAAAAATGACAGGATGGATAATGAGAACCTTCAAAACTAGGGATGCCAAGCCCATAATGACTCTTCAGGTTGCTTGTTCTATCTAGGTTGGAATATTGCTGCACACTAACAGCAATTCTCAAGGCAGTTGAAATTGCTGACCTAGAAAATGTGCAGAGAACCTTCACAACACACACAACTGTGATAAAACACCTCAATTACTGGGAATGCTTAAAGTTCCTCAAGCTGTACTCCCTAGAATGCAGGCAGGAGACATACATGATTATATACACTTGGAAAATCCTAGAGGGATTAGTACCAAACTTGCACACGAAAATCACTCTCTACGAAAGCAAAAGACTCGACAGACGATGCAACCACCCCTCAGTGAAAAGCAGGGGCGCCACTAGCACGATAAGAGACAACACAATAAGTGTCAGGGGCCCAAGACTGTTTAACTGCCTCCCAGCATACATAAGAGGGATTACCAACAGGCCCCTGGCTGTCTTCAAGCAGGCACTGGACAGGCATCTAAAGTCACTACCTGACCAGCCGGGCTGTGGTTCGTATGTCAGGTTGTGTGCAGCCAACAGTAACAGCTTGGTTGATCATGCCCTGCTCCAACATGATTCTTGGTCACAGACTGGGCTGTGGGTGTGTTGACCCCCGAAACCCTCTCCAGGTAGTATATGCATTTTAAATACCTGGAATTTAAACATTTTTAATACCCAGTTACATATAAATAGTTTTTAATACCAAAGTACAGTGGACCCCCGGTTTACGATCAGCTCCCAGTGCAACCAATTATGTAAATGTATTTATGTAAGTGCATTTGTATGTGTATGTTTGGGGGTCTGAAATGGACTAATCTAATTCACAATATTCCTTATGGGAACAAATTCTGTCAGTACTGGCACCTGAACATATTTCTGGAATGAAATAATATCGTAAACCGGGGGTCCACTGTATTAAAAAATTTTGATACCCAGGTATTAAAAATACCTGAAATTGTGATGCCAGTCAAAAGAGGATCTTTAAGGCAATCTTATGGAAATCATTTTCAGGATATACTCCAGGTATATAAGACTGAGCAGAGAGTATCTTCACATGTCAATTGTTCTACAAACCTTCACCTAGCAATGGTTGACAAAGGATTGAAATTTAAAGTGTTTGTTTAATGAGCTGACAGCTGTGGGGTCACTTGTTTGTTAAGGTAATGAGAGCCACTGCAGCATGCTTCATATTGAGCCAGAATGAACAACTAGCTCTCCCCAGGTCATATAAATTTCTGAAGAAAAAGGTTTACATGCCTGACTCACTTTTTTAAAACTTTTATGGAGTGCAAACCAAGGCAAAACAGTTTTTAAATATTAATATAAATATGAATAGTGTTAAAAATGCACTATGTAAGTGCACACTATGAGTATTCTGTATGTAAATTTTAGTTCATGAATTTATATGGGAAAGGATAGGAATGAATATGAAGAATATACATGACCCTTGTATGAAAGAGGGTAAGTAAATAATAAAAGTTGATGTAATGGAAACTCTCTTTCCAGGACCTGGTTCCCAGTCTGCACATTGTCATAACTTGCTGGAGTAAGATGTGCAGAAGGAAGTGTTGAATATACTCAGTGACGACAGGGATGCCATAAATACAGTTGTAGAAGAAATGTAGAAGCTTTCAAGAGGAAAATGGACTATCATCTTTTGCAAGTGCCTGATCAGCCGGATTGTGGCAGCTATGTGGGCCTGCAGGCCATCTGCACCAAAAGCCTGGCAGACTAAGCAGTTAACACAAAAGCCTGGCCTCAGCCAGGCTGTGAGGATGCAAGAACCCTCAGAATATGTTACAGGTAAGTTGCTCACATTCATTGTAGGGGTCAATTTGAAATTGGAAGCAGATTGGTTAAGGCATTCTTACATTACAAATAAGAACCTTGGTATTAATTAACAGATGGATGGGTTTTGCATCACATTGTGCAGTATTTAAGGAGTTCACTCAACTCAGGAAATTTAAAAAATATATATTGTGTTCTTTAAGATAGTTCAGTTTGATGAAAATTCTAACAATTCCAAGTTTAATCAAAATAAGTACATGTACTGCATTGACAGATTTTCCCACACGCAAACTAAACTGAATGGGTACTATCCTGGCTGCAAGATGCATCAGCCATTAATAGTTCTAGGTTTTGAGTTTGCTCATTTCAACCTGCTGGTAATGTTTCAACTTGCAGGCAGTGTTTTAGCCTTCAGGTAATGTTTCAGTCTTCAGACTGCTACAATCTGCAGGCAATGTTTTAACTTGCAGGTAAAGCTTCAACTTGCAGGTAATGTTTCAATCTATAGGCAGTGTTTCATCCTGCAGGCAATGTTTCAGCCTACAGATAATATTTCAGCCTGCAAGTAATATTTCAACCTTCAGGCAGTGCTTCAGCCTACAGGCAGTGTTTCAGCCTTTCTGGGGAGACTTTAAAGCATTACAATAGCTAAAGCTTGTTGTGATGTGCAGTATTACAGTAGAGAGTTTGGACAATGTGGTACAGAATATCACTTTATAGTACTTATTAAATTACTCAAAATTATCTGTTTTTCTCTTAGGGAGTAGAAAGATGGATTCCTCTCCATCTTCATTCAGCCTTAGACTAGAAGTCATTCATTGTTAGGGATTGCTGTCTTGTTTCAGTGTCTTTAACCCGTAAACGGTCCAAGCAGATCTACATTCACATGCGTAGTGCTCCAAAAGTAGATCTACGTTTTTTTTACATATTTTCAAATATAATAAAAAAAACATAGATCAGTTTTTTACACGCTTTCAAATGTAAAAAAAAAAAAAGATCTACCTTTTTTACGTACTATCAAATGTTGAAAAAACGTATATACAGTATATGTTTGGACCATTTACGGGTTAAGTTGTCCAATGTTGAAACACTGCAGAGTCAAATTTGCCCTCATTGTGGCCTTATTGAGATGCCCTTCATCTGTCTTACTCATTTCCATAGCTTTCACGATACATCCTATAAAATTAGTGTTACTGATACAGTAAAGTTATCAGCTTCAATCACTTGCCCTCTTTACTTTGTCCCTTCAATTAATGTCAGTACACATATCCTTCCAGAGTCCCTTGACGTCTCTTTTTTTCTTTCTTTTGTCTTGGAAATATCCGTGGTCCAGGTCTGCTTCTTTTCCTCTTTCATTCACATACTCTCATTTCATCCTCTCTTCCTTGATTATTTATAATCCCTCTGGTACTACTACTGTGTACATCAATGGCTTCGAAGCTTTTGATGGAGTGGAATGCATGCCCATTTTTCCCTCACGTTGTGTTCTAAGGATAATAACTTTAGTCCTTGTTTTCACGGCAGAGTTGTAAGCTGTCCATGTTGCTGTTATCTATATTTCTACCGTATATACCTCATCATTTGCTGTAATTTCAGACTAAGTGCATTGTAAACAATGCAGACCATTTATTCCATATATTCCCTTGTTCTATACATATAATCCTGGCTGTGTCAAAGCCTTAGCAGAAACATAAGGGTTGTTTTTTGTTGTGTGTCTGGCTGTGCTGAAGTTGGGCAGTGAACCTGGGAACTCTGCATGTTTGGAAGTTTGCAAGCAGAGCTGGTAATAGAGATGGGTCAATAATGGAAAAGGTCACACCTTGACATACCTGATTTCTCAAAAAAGAAAACCACTGGAGTGTTGCACCATAGGAACTTGTACATCATCTGGCCCAGTTGCCAAAGGCAGACATTTGAGTAGTGTAAAAAGTATATTATAGGGCTTATCAGTATGAAACTAATCTCCTGAATCTATTTCCTGGAGAACAACATAATGTACATGCAAGGGGAAACTGTGAGATCCAGCTGAAGCTCTCCCTGTTACCCTATTTTCTCATATATTCCATTGAATGATAAGCATAAAGGGTAAAAAAGACATGTAGAGATGGAGCAACCAATCAGAAGCAGGGAATTCAGAAGCTGGAGGCATAAAACAGGGAAAGCATCAAGGGATCTATGTGTAGGGAAACAAAATAAAATATAGGGAGATTGTATAAGGTGATAAAGGGATTGGGGAAGGCAGGTATAGATTTGGAAGACAAGGAGACTGTCAGGTGGTTTGCAAAGCAATTTCCATGTGCTTAGAGGTGGGAGGGGGCAGTCTGTGAGAAGGCACTAGGGTAGTACTCTAAAAGCAGTTATGTTCTCCAATATCTCCTTCTCCAAGATATCATGGAGTGTACAGTATTGGGAAGATGGAGTGGCTTGGAGAGATAAAACAGGAATAGAGTAAGGTGTAACAGCAGAAAATAAATGACAGCATTTGTCCTTTGATGAAGAACAGAGGAAAAGCAGGAAATGCCCTATTTTGTTGGGTGTTGCTAGAGGGCAAGGACACATGGACCTTTACTGCTACAAGATGATGATTACAGAATAGCTCTTGGAAGGACCAATAGCTAAGATAAGGAATGAAGTGCATTACATGCCCAAAGAATCCAGTGGCACTTGCACACTGGAACGGGAACCAGGTGTCATGAGAGGGTCATCATGAGGAGTAATGTGGGAATATCAAATAGTGGAAGTCTATTTTCTTGTTGGATATGAGCTAGGATATAAAAATATTCACAAAGTGCTAAATGTATGAAGGAAAAAAGCTTGAGCCTGTCCACATGACATACCTTTTTCTTTCAGATAGCTAACCATACATTTTTGCTGATAGATATGGTACTCATTGTGGATACTAGAACCACATATAGAGCATTTACTGGTTGAATGACAGCGATTTGCTGGATGACCAAATTGTCAGAAGTTTTGGCACTGCTACAGAATAGTAATTTCTCAATACTACCCATCATCCACCATCCCACCTGATAAACTGTTCATGGGAGCGAGTAGCATGTAAGTGTAATTTTTGCCACATTACTCGAATGATAGAAGCAGCTCTGAGTTAATTCAACAAATGCTTTTATTTTGAAGAGCACATTGTGAATATCTCCTGCACATTTTGTAATGGATTGTTTGAGGAAAAGTGCCCAGAGGAAGACAATCATCCTACAATGCAAATTCATGTACATGGTGTTAAAACTCAGTGCTGCATTTTTGAATGAAGTAAATACAATACATAGATGAATATTTTCATGAGGAAGAACTAAACTTGTATAGTTCCTAGAGAATAAGAGGATTTTATCATATTTATACAAAGCACTAAACCCACGTGGGTCATTCATTGATGCTTCATCTGGTAATCTTTAGACAGGAATTGGAGCTATTCTTTTTCTTGAATAAAATTTGATTATCTCCCATTACCCAGGTACTGTATCATCCTACACATTTAGCACTTCCCCATTAAATTACAGTGGAACCTCAAAAATTGAACTGCTCCCAACACAACCAATTATGTAAGTGTATTTTTGTAAGTGCTTTTATAAGTGTATTTTTGAGGGTCTGATATGGACTAACCTAATTTACATTATTCCTCATGGGAATAAATTCATTCGGTAAAAGCACTCAAACAGCCTTCTGGACCGAAGAAAGTTCGATATTTGAGGATCCACTGTACAATAATTCCTTGGACCGTAAACCATTTGCCAACATGAAGGAACCTTCCTTCTAGGTAATATAGGATAAAATGATACTACTTTAAATTAAAGTACTGTATTGCTGAGTGTTGGAATGTTACAGAACTAAGCCTTATAAAGACTGTAAAAAAGGTATAGTGTGTGGACTTGCACAAATGTTTACAATTTCATTCCCATTCATGAAATATTTAGTAGATATAGAGCTTCATTGGTGAATTCTCAATGGATATAAGGGAATTATTGATTGGAAATACAGCCATTTTCTTGTTATATTCTCATTCTTGTACATTTTTATTTGCTATGTTTGTGCATACCATAAATGTAAAAATACTATAGGAAGACACTTCATACACTGAAAGATAATGACCATGGGACTTGTTATATCTTGAATGCAGTTTGTTTGGAAATGGTTTAAAATGGAACACTGTGGGATGTGAAGGGCATGGTAGTTTAGGCAGTCTTGGCTGTACCCAGTGAAAGAGCAGCAGGATGTCTCATTCTAGGTTATCAGTTCTTGGGAGAGCATGTAACCTACTGGTAGACTCAATAAATCCTGATTACTTTATGAGTAAGTACAGTGGACCCCCGGTTTACGATATTATTTCATTCCAGAAGTATGTTCAGGTGCCAGTACTGAACGAATTTGTTCCCATAAGGAATATTGTGAATTAGATTAGTCCATTTCAGACCCCAAACATACACGTACAAACGCACTTACATAAATACACTTAAATAATTGGTCGCATTGGGAGGTGATCGTAAAGCGAGGATCCACTGTATTCTTATAACCAGATTCTACATATGGCATAATGCGTAGGATGCAGAGCTAGCCCTTGTCCTTCAAAGGGGTTACCATGATGATAGTGATTCTTGACTGAAGTAATTTGAACTACCCTACTTTTCCCTGGATCAAAGCTGATTATCTCCCATTCCTCAGGTGCTGTATGAACTTTGAGTTTAATGCCTCCCCATGCCAAAATACGTATGTCAAGAATTTTTTTTTTCTTTTCGACACACTGGCCCTCTCCCACCAAGGCAGGGCGTTCCAAAAAAGAAAAAACAGTTTTTCTTTTTATATTTAGTAATTTATACAGGAGAAGGGGGTTACTAGCCCCTTGTTCCTGGTATACAAGTCTCCTCTTACAACATGCATGGCTTGAAAAGTAAAGATTCTTCTCCACTTCCTCATGGAGAAGTTGAAAATACACGTCATAAATTAGCTAGGGTTTATTGAGTGTCTAAGGTTGTGGGTTTTCCTGGTAAAAATAACCTTGAGAGAATCTTCCTGCTTGTCCCTCATTAGTGCTGCCTGTCCAGGCTGCATAAATAAACACCATACTTTTAATTTGCAGTGCTGACATTCATGGACAGATTATCATTTCAATAGTTCACATATAATTTTTTAATTGATACACTAAAGTTTTTATAATATATACAGCAAAATATACATAGTTCCAGACTCTTAATTTATGATAAAAAAATTTTACATGTTATAATGGCTGTATTTAAGCACACTACCCAAGTAATTCATGTAACTTAAATCTGGATTTTTACTTTTATTGAGTTTTAAATCTACAACTGACACTTAAAAAACTAATTTTATCTCATTGTAACTCGTTTCATTATCAAGAATTCACGTTATGAATGATAAAATACTGACAGGATATATGTGAAACACCTTATTCAAACTCAGGTCATATAACATCCAAAGGGGACATCAGTTTTGTGACAGTAGTGCAATATTAAAAACATGTAAAGAATTTACACAATAAATAAATATGCATATAAAAATATGATTTGGCTCTGATCGGTAGTTTTGTACATGTGATCAGGGAAACTTATTTAATTCCAAATGAGATCTATTTGAACACTGTCTGCACTTCACTATTTAAATGCTGCCTAAGTCATGACTATATACAGTACCGTAATTCTAACGAGAGAAATGTTTAAAAAATGCAGTGCAGACATTGCGAGTTCACTGGGATGGTCCTTCAGTTTCTAAAGTTCATACCAAACTAAGTCTTCAAACACACATTGAATTCAACTGGTGCCTTTCAAACTAGATTTATCATAACTTTATAAATAATTCCATTAAACAACTTTTGTACAAAGACAAGTTAATACAGATATTGAACAAAAATGACATCATGCTTTACAAGCTGGTCATAGCAAAAACAAATATAAAAATGTTCTACACTAAAAACAGCTGTACCATTAATTCTTAAATGGAACTATAATGCAGCAATGTCTGGTACATGTACTGATGGCACAGATAGATAGCATACCATGACATGTCACTGGTAGACAGCACATGCATGACATGTCACTGATATATTTGTAATATATGAGAGACAGGCAGCATACATGTGACATGTCACTGATACATCCCACAAGCCAGCTCTGGGAAGCACCAAAGTGTTGTATGCAATAATGAACTCACTTGATATCAGAAACGCTACACATTTCATCACAGAATTAGAGTACGTACTTGCTCAGCAAACCAATGATTGTTACCAGCTGTAGGGAAACTTCACATATTCACAGTCCATTCACACTGGTGTGGGCATTTTTATATAAAATAGTGTTGGCAGCAATACTACTGTACTTGCTTAGCCAGAGCTGCCTATATTCACCTTCTGGACATGCTAAAATAAATTCATTCCCTGTAAAATGTTCACTTTACGAGTACAGTGAATAATCTAAATAAAATTTGAATTTAAACCTACCAGCAATAAAATTGGCTCATTGTATGGATATGTGATTATGAATAAATATACTAGCAAAATAATTAACATCATTCATTTACAGTATATTTAATTATAAATAAAAACTACCAGAATTTCCAGTTGCATAATTTCATTTTATGCCTGGACCATAATACTGATGTGGTGATTTATGCCTGGGCCATAATACTGGAGTTTATTTAAAATATGAATTTAAGGTAGAGTAGCTACATTTTTTAAATACCACAAATAATATAAAAAATACTTTCCCAAATATATCCTGTTAATGATTTGCATATTTGCTTTGTCATTTCAAATCGTCCTTGTGCGACTTAATTTTGTAAGACTGAGTCTAAAATAAAATATGCTGATGTAGAGTAATAATAATGTACAGTACAGTTCTGAAAACAATTTACTGGTATTTTATAAGTAAAACTGCATAAAAATATTTGTATATACAGTATCTACTGCACATTAAGTGGAAACAGGGAGGGAGGGAGGGGGTAACTAGATATAAAAATTTTAATTTAATGTGATTTCAATAGGTAAAATGTTAACCTAGTTTAATATACAACCAGTGCTTTTCTGAAGTTAACAGTGTTTCTTTGTCATTGTTAATATATGGTAATCTGGCTACTGTATATTTGTGATTTTTGCCACTTACAGGCACTGTATAGCCCTTTTGGGCTTACCACTTCCCCACGAATGTGATAATTATGTGCTGCTTTAAGGAGGTTGAAAACATAAAAACTGTGTTTTTGTTTTATTACACTCTCAAATACGTCCATTCATACAACTCTAAATACGGCGCCGGTCGTCCTTCCCTTACGCAACTGTTGTACGAAAATGGCAATAATGGCAGCACAGTGGTAAAAACACCAGAGATAATGAACAAAAACATGAAATACCGAAAATAGTTGATGTATATGCAGGGCCTCCTAGTCTTAGAATAAAAAAACTGTACAAGGTACAATAGTCACAGTAATTTTTTTTTGTATTTACCACCTAGAGGAAAATAAGTCAGATATTAAGCAGTTCCTTTTCTGTCTGCATTTTTTATATTATACATGTAAAAGTCCACATGTGCATTCTACAAAAAAATCCAAATATTAAAATTATTGTACAAAAGTGCTTGTGTTCCTAAATATTTGTTTGAAATAAATAAATAACGTATTAGTTAATTCATTAGTGACGAATAATCCACACGGGTTTAACACACTTGTAAGTATAGTACCTGTACCAGTAATATAGTTAAACTTGGCATATTCCTGTACATTAAATATTTTGTTGATCTAATAACAATAATATTAATAATTATATTTATTATAAGTTATTTTATTATTAGTTTATTACAGTGGACCCTCGGTTATCGGCCATAATCCGTTCCAGAAGGTCAGCCTAAAACCGAAATATTTCCCATAAGAATTAATTTAAATACAATTAATCCATTCCAGACACCCAAAAATATTAACAAAAATGCATTTTTTAAAGATTAATTATAGTTTTACATACACAAAACAATGAGAACTAAATAAAATAAATAAATGAACATTTAAATAACTATTACATAACTTTATTGAAGACTCTTGTAGGCTAATGGAAGACAGGGAGGAGGAAAGAGGGAGGACTGATTATTGTTTGGAAGGGGAATCCCTATCCATAAGGACTTCCCTCCCTCCCTGCTATACTCCCTGCCTCCATGCTACACTCCCTGCCTGCCTGCCTGCCTGCTACACTCCCTGCCTGTCTACTACACTCCCTCCCTCCATGCTACACTCCTTGCCTGTCTGCTACACTCCCTCCCTCCCCTGCTATACTCGCTCCCTCCATGCTACACTCTGCCTCCCTACTACACTCCCTGCCTCCCTACTACATTCCCTGCCTGTCTGCTACACTCCCTCCCTCCCTGCTATACTCCCTCCCTCCCTGCTACACTCCCTCCCTCCATGCTACACTCCCTGCCTGCCTGCTACACTCCTTCCCTGCTACACTACCTCCATGCTACACTCCCTGCCTGCCTGCTACATTCAATGCCTGCTTGCTACACTCCCTGCCTGCTTGCTACACTCCCTGCCTGCCTGTTACATTCCCTGACTGCCTGCTACACTACCTGCCTGCCTGCTACACTCCTTGTCTCCTTTCCACACTCCGTTTCCCTGCTACACTCCCTGCCTCCCTTCTACAGCATATGTGTAAAGAACCTAGGATAACCCCAAAAAAGTCGGATAGTGACTTATTTCCATTTGGGTCCTGCCTGCCTGCTACACTCTCTGCCTGTCTGATACACTCCCTGCTAAGCTCCCTTTCACAACATGAGCTTCCTTGATGCTTGGATGAACAAGCAGAAGTGTCCTCACTTGCCCAGAGACACAGATTGACTTACAAATGCGCGAGCAGTTGGCGGGCAGGCGGGTTGACGTGTCCCATACAGTCGATAAGCGAAATGACGGACAATAACCGGAAGCCAAAAAACCAGCCGATAACCGAGTTGGCTGATAAGCGGAACGGCTGATCACTGAGGGTCCACTGTAATTGTGCTTTGGACTTGTATAGAGAAATGTTAGTGGAATACTTTTATGGAGTACCACTTTAAATTGCACATATGACTTTAGAACATACACTTCTTAAGCATTATAGTCAAATAGAGTACAATATATTTTCTTATTCATGGCACAAGTTGTAATGTGAGGGACTCTCATATTGGAGACCTTGGTTCAAGTTTCACAGTTATCCGTGATAAATATTTCGATTGGTAAATTTACGTTACTGTGAAATTTTGGATTGTGTCCATGAATGTTAGGGACTGATCAGTGGACTGTTATCAGGCACCTGAGTGACAGGCATTAGGGATCGACCAGTGGATTGTATTATCGGACTTGTGAGTGATGCTTTAGAGATCATCTTGTGGATTTTGTTATTGGACACTTGAGTGTCAGGTATTAGGAATCAACCAAGGGATTATCATGCACCTGAGTGACAGGCATTAGTGACCAATCATTAATTGTGTTATCAGGTACCTGAGTCACAAGTGTTAAGGACCAACCAGTGGATTGTGTTAGACACCTGAGCAACTGGTGTTAGGGACCATGTTAATAGGCACCTGAGTGACAGGGCTAAGTAAAAAGTTATTTGGAGAACCAATTTAAGCTCATCATAACCTGGTATATTCAGTAATCAACCTGACCCTGGCATGTGTACCTCTGCGACACAAGTGGTAGCACAAAGGGATTTAGGTGCTGGAAGCCCTCATTCAAATCCCACAGTGCTTCATAAATTTTTTTATTTTTTTAACACATTGGCCATCTCCCACCAAGGCCCGAAAAAAAAACTTTCACCATCATTCACTCCATCACTGTCTTGCCAGAGGCATGCTTACACTACAGTTATAACATTAACACCCCTTCTTCAGAGTGCAGGCACTGTACTTCCCATCTCCAGGACTCAACTTCATCCTGCCAGTTTCCCTGAATTCCTTCATAAATATTACTCTCCTCACACTTCAACAGCACGTCAAGTCCTAAATACCATTTGTCTCCACTCGCTCCTATTTAACACACTCAAGCATGGTTGGTGGAAGTCCAAGCCCCTCGCACACAAAACCTCCTTTACCCCCTCCCTCCAACCTTTCCTAGGCTGACTTCTACTCTGCCTTCCCTTCACTATAGATTTATACACTCAAGGTCATTCTAATTTGTTTCATTCTCTCAACATGTCCGAACCACCTCAACAACCCCTGAAAGTAATGTTTTACTGTAAGCAATATTTTACTGAAAGCAAGGAATAAGAAAACTTAGTGAGCAGTGTAGTGGTCTGTAAAGAATAAAGGTAGTGAGATGCAGGATAAGGATACAGGAAAAATTATTTGAATGTAGATGATGAAATGTAGGTAGAAGTTTAGCACTTGAGAGGAGAAAGTGGATTATAATTTGAGAACAGTTAGAAGGATGGAATGAGTGCTGCAGTAAGCAACTCATAAGTGTGTCACATAATAAGGATGGATGGGATTAAAACTGAAATATTGGAAGAAAGTTGGGAATTTAATGTTTGAATGGATGGTGCAACTGTTTAATGTGTGAGGAAGACAGGAAAGTGCTCAAGGCTTGGCAGAGCATACATAGTTGTGTATAAAGGTAAAGTAGAAAAAAGTGTTTAAAAATTATACGTAAATAAGTCTGAGGATAATGGAGGTATCCTTTCCTTCCTTAAATAAAATCTTTCCTCTCATTCCCCAAGAACTGTGTGATGCTTACGTATAGCACTTCCCATTAATATACTGTAATAATAAATCTGAGTATACATTACCAGGCAAAATGTGTGGCAGAAATGATGAGAGAGAAGAAAGAAAAAATAGTGCTTGGAAAAAAATAAGTATACCTAGAGAGAGTTTTGGGGGTCAATGCCCCCCTCCAGCCCAGTCTGTGACCAGGCCTCAGTAGCCTCAAAAAGGAAATGGAATGTTTGAATCTTAAAAGTTCATTGAGACATATAAGTGAATAGCTTTTTTATATAAGGAAGAGAAGCTATTTGTTGTATTTGCAGATTTTTAGAAATGGCAGAAAAAGGAATGGTGTATACAATATGGCAGATGTATGAAAAAGGGGACAAGTTGCATCCAAATGGCATATTGCTGACAGTAGTGAAGAAAGACATGTGCACACTTACCGCACAGACCCATTCTCTCACATTTTGGCCAAAATTTATCGCTCACAGCTTATCTGAGTTGAGCTCATGACGTAGAACTACACGAGGAACCCTGGCCTCAATTATGTTGTTCTACGTGATGGCCACTGAAAGGGCCAACAGGCGTGTAATCCTCAAAGGCAAATAATCTCTTATGAGATGGGCATTGTGAAAGCTATGTGATAGTTGAAAATTCAAAAGAAAAGCTCAAGAAGTTGGAGAAATTTAAAGGTATGTAAAGAAGCTAAAAGTGAAGAGGTGCATGAGCAAGGTGATAAGAGTAAGAAAAAGCATACAGAATGACACTGGAGGTCAGAATAGAGGAAAAACTTACAAAAGAAATTAAGTTATTTAAACTGAAACAAATATCATCTAAACTCTTAAATCTAAGTGTGGGCTACTTGTAAAGTGCATGAATCAGCCACTAGCATATACTGGTGGCAGATGCATGGGCCTGGTTCATATATTGTGGGCAACAAGATATAAAACAAAATTCAGGAATTGGAAAATTTGAGGATACTGTGGGAATAGTGCACTGCATGGACATGATTACATATTAGTATGTTTGTATGAACTAGCAGAAGTATCTTATAGCATCTCATTTTCAGTATTTAAACTACCTCCTCTTGGATACTATTTCACTGTTCAATTTGTGTTTGTGGTTGTCATGTCTCTGCTCATGTTCATGCCTCATTATCCATGTTTTATTAGATAGCACTACTTGTTCTGGTCTCTTGATTCTTTAACATATATATACAGTACTCTACCACAAGATTGATAAAATACATCATAACATCCCATAGTGTGTCTGTCTGTCTGTGTTTGTACGTGTATAGAAAAAAAATTATTCAGAGCCAGTGGGACACAAAAAATTTACATTTTAAAACAGCCCTTGGCTAATATGCCTATGTTCTTATGTACAAATAAATATTCTTAACTCGACATATCTTCAGAAAATTCATACAAAAATTTGTCCAGCCAATTGCTACAAACACCCTGAAGCAATGAGGACATTAATTCAAGCATTATTAGAATATAAATACAAGCTTTTACCATGTTACAAATCCTATATAACTTTACAGTCATATCACTTAAGGAACAGGGGCATTTTTAACATAAATGCAATGCACACCAGTGAACCACTCCTGTTGCAGGCCCCAGAGTAATAGGCTGAATATTCTCTCAGTGTCTTGCAAAGATTTTGACTTCCCTCATGAACTTCTGCCTTGGCTATATGTACTAAGCATTGAATATGACACAGTAGTGAAAATCTGTTTGTATAAATTTATTAATTAGTTTGATAAAATTGCAGATGGAATCCATCTTGATACAGTATATATTTGTTGATTTATGATTAGGTAATGTTTTAGATGTACTCATTTGATTGCTAAATATAAGTGCTGGCTTAAAGTTCAGCCTGGTTGTTTAGATGCTAGTACTGTACAATATTTTAAATCTTTGAACTATTATTAAATAATTATTATGTTTTGTATACTGTATTATTGAATTTTTTGGAAGGTTAATAAAGAGCACAACTGTTCAGAACTGTAAGAAAAATTACTGATCTTTAGATGTGTTTATTTTTTATAGTAAAATTTTAATTTTTAGAAGTGATTAAACAGATTTTTTAAGTTGATTAGTAAAAATAAAATTGCACTGAGATATTTTAAATCTTAAAAAGTCCCCTGTCAAGGAACCACTGTTTTTAAACCATGTTTAAATCAGCATCACATTATCCAGTTTATTTTAACATAATGTGTAGCTGATTACAAACTTTTTATGCTAGAAATTTGGTAACATCAAATATTTAGTACCAAATTGATTTCATTAATATACATTTTAACTATGCTGAGCAGAAGGCTCTGGAGCACAAGAACATGGGCGGGGAGTGGCAGGAGCTGAACCAGACATGGCTGAACTTGGTGGTGGAATAGGTACCATGACAGGTCGACCAGCAGAAAGATCTGTCAATGCTTTATGTACGACAGGAAATGATGGGCGGTCATGAGGGCGCCGTTGCCAGCACCAAGTTAAAAGTGCATATGCTTCAGGAGGACAGTGATCTGGGCATGAAAGAATGCCTCCTTCCTTCAAAAAACACACAACCTGCTCATGAGTCATTCCATAATATGGTTGTAATGCAAAAGAAAATATTTCCCATAAACAAACCCCGAAGGCCCATACATCACTTTCTACTGTATATTTATTATATAAAATGCTTTCTAGAGGCATCCAGCGAATTGGAATGGCATCACTGTCATCACCTCGGTAGTAATCGGCAATGTAGATCTTCTGAGAGAGACCAAAATCTGCAATCTTGACTGTCATATCTTCACCAATAAGACAATTTCTAGTTGCAAGATCTCGATGAACAAACTTACGATCTGAAAGGTATACCATGCCTGCTGCAATCTGTGTAGCAATCCACAACATGTCCTTATATGTAAGTTTAGTGTCACTAAAGGTGTCCCCATTAGAGGAACGCACAATATAGTTGGTGGGGGAACATGTCCTGAGAAATTCATTCAGATCTCCACGGCCCATAAACTCAAACAGAAGACACATGGGGCGTCCCACAGCACACACCCCAAGCAGTCTCACAATATTTGGATGATCAAACTCTGCAAGTATGCATGCTTCACGCTCAAAATCTCCAAGCATATCTTCGGATGCTTCTTCCTTTAATACTTTTACGGCTACCATTGTTAATTCTTCTCCAGGCACTAATGCTGGTGCCTTCCCCTGAAATGGTAAATATACTTACATCATATATTTATTATGGTAACATCTTAGTATTTACATCCACAGATGAGGCACTGTAAATAGTTCTGGACATCTCAGTATTTTTTATGGTAAGGAAATATGCCATAAAACAACACTGTTTATGCATGTTAAAAAATAATAGAACTAATACAATAATTGAAAACAAAATTTTGAATATTTTTTAAATATTTTTTTTTTTTTGCATAAAGTATTTCAATGCATTGTTTACCGAAGTATAGATGATGAGTTTGCCCAAAATATATCGGTACACAGTATCTCTACAGTTTTTACTCCTTGTTTCATCTAGGAACAGCACTTTGTTACAATAGAGGCCACTTTAAAAACCTTAGTCATTGAAATTTTGTGGATTGGTTACTGAAGTAGTTGGTATTTTGTACCAAGAAATTGGGTGTTTAAAAAGTAAAGAATATGTAAGAAATGTAATACATGTCAGTGTCTCTGAAAAGAGGCTTGTGAACAGAGAGGAAAAAAAAGTGAAGCTGAAAAGATACCAGAAATTTTTTCCTTGCAAAAATAGCGATAGAACACTAGACTGAATTAAATAGTAGGTAGCAAGTTCTGCAACCTATGGTAATTTAAAAAAAAATAGGTGAAATAATTGCCAAAGATGGGACATATGAGCATAGCTCTACTCCTGTAGCTACAATGAGATAATTATATTCACTTCAATCCCTCTTCCTTCCCCCATCCTCCCCCCCCTTCCCCAGTATGCCTTGGTCTGACCTACCTGGAATACTCGACCAAAGGCACCTTGCCCTAGGTCTCTGATATAGATAATGCTGTTGCGATCATACTGCAACTTCTCCAGTTTGGGATTCAGCTGAGCACAGGTTTGATGGTAGGCAGAATTGCGTGGCAGCTTGCTCAGATCTATCTCGGCTTCCTGACAATAATAATGGAAAAACCAATACAGTATTTTTTAAAGAAAAATGCAAGTAATACAATTTTATAGAAAGCCCATAGTATGCAAAACATTTTGGTCACACTAAAACTAAATACTAAAAACAATTATCCCCTCTTCCATCCAAGATGTATGACCCCCTCTTTGTCATCCTATCCCTCTCCTCCTCCTCCTCCTCCTCCTCCTCCTTCATTTCTACTAACCTAAACCACTTTGGCAAAATAAAGGAAGCTGAGTTTTAGGGGCTTCAGCATCCAGCAGGCTTGTGTGAGCATGTTAGATAATGAATTAAATAAAGTGGTTTATAATGGGTGTAGCTTTTATGAAGGGATTCAAGGAAATCAGTTAGCAGGACTTGAGTTCTGGAAGTGAGGACAGTGGAGGTTCAATCCTCCATTTATATGGGGGGTCATTCAATGCAAAGAGTGATGAAGACTTGAACTGTCCCTGTGGGTTCTTCAGCACAAGAGAGTTACAGAGGCATGATGCAATTAAAAATTGTATAAATTTTTTTGTGGGCTAAGAATTTTTAAATTTAAAAAATTTTCTTCTATATGCTATATACATCACGTAGCAAGTAATGCAGTGATGTATCTGGTTTAAGTGAATTTTTTCTGTGTTTCATTGAAGGAGGCATCAAAATACTTTGGGGTCTACCATTATTCTCACAGTGGATGTTGCACACTACATTTACCTATGAAAAATATGGATGTGGGGTAGTACTTGTTTGAGAGGTTGAAAGGAAGTGCTGAGAATTTAGCAAACATAGCACAGGTTCTAGCCACTTCTACAGAAAACTGTTCCAATAGTAGTGGATTTCTCTGACAATATAATTCACATTATACCTTCCTTTCCCATCTGTCAAGAATAGCAAAGATGACCTCTCCCAGAAGACAAATCTTTTCATTCTCAATTTTCATGACACTGTACCCTGATCCATACCTTTCTTCCTTGAGGAATTATCAGCTCTTAATAGTGGATAAACTAAAGAACTTGCCCCTGCAAGATGTGGCTATCTGTTTGTCCTACACATATTACAGCCATTTCAAGACTCCAACAATGCAAAGCTTCAGGTGCAAACTATATATTATAATGCATTTTTTCACTATCTTCCCAAATTTTGCTCCAATTATGAGACATTACAATGACAGTTTCTTGCTGGCTCTGATTCTCTGATGAATTTCACAATCAACAATACTAACAATACTGTTACTTCCCAGTTTACATAGGTTGGCTATATGAACCCTCCAACATCTAAATTTGTGCAATATATTTTAATGTCTAGAATGCTGTGACCTATGTGAGTTTGACCTTTGTTTTTGAACATAATATAATACTGCATGGAAATATTTGTCGGATACAAGAGTATCGCTTACCTAACTCACGTAATGACACGCGGGTTCAAATCCCACCCGTGGTATGGTTTGGATCGCTTACTTATTCAGTACTAAACATAGGTGAACATGCAATCTTACTTGGTTGTTGGGGGATGAGTATCCATGGCGAGCATGTACTAATTTGTGAATGAGCAGTGCACTCAGAGCCAAAAGGAGGAGTCCCCCTAACCCAGCACCTCCAGCTATCATCATCATCCAGGGGCTTGGCAACAATTTCTCGTGAATTTCATCTTGTAGGAAGATACTGCCATCTGCATCAGTACCTTCACCTAGAAGAAAAAATACTGTGCTCTTAACCCTTGACTGTTTTGGTCGTATATATACGTCTTACGAGGTACCGTGTTTGACGTATATATACATACTCATAAATTCTAGCGGCTTCAAATCAAGCAGGAGAAAGCTGGTAGGCCCACATGTGAGAGAATGGGTCTGTGTGGTCAGTGTGCACCATATAAAAAAAATCCTGGAGCACACAGTGCATAATGAGAAAAAAAACTCCTACCGTTTTTTTAATTAAAATGTGGTTTATTTTTGTATAGTATTTATGGTTGTATTCTCGTTTTCTTGATCTCATTTGATAGAATGGAAAACATATTATAGAAATAGAGGTGATTTTGATTGGTTTTACTATAAAAAGAACCTGGAAATGGAGCTCAAAGTAGGGGAATTGTTTGATTTTTGCCGATGTTCAAAAGTAAACAAATTATGTAATTGTCCAATAAATGTCCAACTAGCCATTCTGATATGCAGTCATGAATGGGTTTACATTATTTGTTCAATTATTACAGTATTGCAGTAGTCTGCATAACAGTAAATCTTCTGTTTTTTGTTTGAATAAAAATTCAAAATAGAAAGCAAGAGTAATATCAGAAGGGCCTGGAGATGTGAGTGATGTACAAAGAAAATGTTATTTTAGAGCCACGAATGTCTGCATTGTTCATTCTGGACCTTATTTTGAAATTGTCATATTTTTTAATTTTTGTGAAATTGGCCAAATTGCAAATTTCTGACCACGTTATTGGGTAGTTGAAATCGGTAAATGGGCAGTTTCTTGTACTCATTCGATAGAAAAAAATGGAATTCTAAAGAAATAGCTATGAGTTAGGTCCACCAGAACAATGGAATTAGCCGAAAATAGGGCTCAAAGTGGGCAAAATCGCCGATTTGTAAATATTGCTGAGGTCGCTAACTTCGGGGAAAAAATTCTCTATCATTTCATTTTTTTTTTTTTTTTTTTTTTTTTTTTTTTTTTTTTTTTTTTGCGACACCAGGAGACACCTCAGGATTGGGGGTTGCGAGAGTCAAGGGGTTAATTAAAAGGGGTAAAATTTCCAAAAGATAAAAATGGGCCTCTGTATGTATCTTTGTAAATCCAAAGATGATGTAGAGATCTCACAGCAATGCTCAACTTGATGAATCCTATTGAGGGGGCGCCTTGATGATGACACTGGGATGTTAATCTGAGGAATTGGAGTTACTTTCCCTTTCCTTGAATCAACCCTCATTATATTTTATTCCCAGGTGATGTATGACCCTTGTGGGTTTAGTCCTTCTACATGAATATAGCAATTGATGCACAACAGGAAAGGTGAAGTATGGATTGACACTAGCATAGGTGAAAAGTTCCGAGTGTTTAGCTTTGAATGCAGGAAGAGTCGTGGGAGTATGGAGAAAAAAAAAAAAAAAGACTTGCCTGAGTGAACCAGAGACTAACAGGAACTAGTATTTACATAACATTAAAGGCATTACATCTGATATACCAGAAATGTTTGAATGTATTGTATATAGGAGAGATGTAATGAAAGATATGTGGCTTGAAAGGATAGGTAAATGAATAACAGGCACACTTCACAAAATGCATGACTTGCATTCTTGAAAGCAGCACATGTAATTTTCATACTGATGTAGAAGTGTTTGGAGACTATGTATAGCTCATTTGTTCAGTAGACTACTGTGGATCATCTCTTGTTAGCTGACACTACTTACTTCATTATATGAAGCCATCATATTTCACTACGTGTTTCTGGATGAAGACACAAAGGCAGTAATACAATGCAATCCCTTAGCAAGTTGCAAAGATCTACCTTGGGAGAGAGGGTATATATATATATGTAGTAAGCATAATGATGTGAAGAGTCAGGCAAGGTATGTTGAAACTGACTTGTTGGGTATCAAGCCCTTTCACTGTCCATCACATAGATGTAAATTACTGACATTAGGGTCCCTTACACAAACCTACATCATGAGCTTAGCTCACTCAGATAAGCTGTGAGCATTAAATTTTGGCCTAGATATGAGAAAATGGGTCTGTATTGAGAGAGTGCACAGAAAAAAAAATTGTCCTACACTGTGCATGAAAGGAAAGGCAAAACTGACCTTGTTTGGCTTAAAATAGCAAATTTGAGGTGTTTTCTAGGATAGTATTTATGGTTCTACTGGCTGTTTCTTAGTATCAATTGATAGAATGGAAAATATAATACTGAAAGAGATTTTCATTTGTTCCAGGACTGGAAGTAGCTTGAAATCTACCTCAGTTTTGCTGATGTTCCTTGAGGAAGGGTAAGGCCCCCTACAACCCTGGGTCTGTTTTATGGATTTTTACGAAGCAGTTTCTACAACATAGCTGAATCTCTTAACAGGAAACTTCATGATTGCTGTCCCACAGCAACAGTCAGTACATGTATATGGAAGAACACTGCAACAGACCTACTGGCCCAAGTTAGGTAAGTCCCTCTTGAATCCAACCTTTTCTCAACTATACATTTGTCCTACTTGTCTTTATTCTACCCAACAAGTCAATTTTAACATACCTCATCTGACTTTTTATGTCACTATTCTCACTCAATATATGTATATCCTCTTTTCTCAGATAGATTTGGCTTGATAAAGCCGACTGTGTTGGCAAAACATTGCATTTATCCATGTTGGTATTTTAAGCCATTTTTCCCCACTACACGATTCTCTTATACAGTGGAACTTCCACTCATGAGTTTAATCCGTTCCATGACCTTGCTCACATCTGGATTTGCTTGTTTGCAGAGTCGATTTTCCTCATTTAAATTAACTGAAGTGCAATTAATCCGTTCCAGTGGAATTCTGTACTTCAATAATTTCCCTAATATCAACTTTACGGCTTATTTATCTATCATAATTCATCTAATATGACATAATAAACAATATAGATAACATGGAAACCTGATATATACTCTAGAATGAATAAAATATGTCATTACGTAACGGGTGGAGGCGGCCACAACCACTCCAGCTTTGTTGTGGTAAACACTGCCATCTTGTGATGGCCTATTGAAGCCATCTAATATAACTATTATTATATAGTACATTATTATTATACATGTATTATTATTATACATGTATTATTATTATACACGTATTATTATTATACACATACATATATTATTATTATATGTGTATTATTATATTATACACACATTATTATTTTATTATTATTATTATTACAATATAAATAATTTGTAATTTTTATTCACACCAAAAAAATAGAAGATTTACTGTTACGCAGACTACTGCATTATTGTAATAATTGTATAAATAATGTCAACCCATTCACAACTGCATATTAGAATGCTTACTCTTGAACATCACCAAAGATTTGAACATTTCTGCTCAATTTCAAGGTACTTTTTGTCGTGAAACCAATCAAAATCATATCTATTTCTGTAATATATCTTCCATTCTATCAAATGAGACCAAAAAAACGAGAATACAACCATAAAAACCATACGAAAATACCGCTAAGGGGAGGCAAATTGCTGAGAAGTGAACTCCATTATTCATGATCCGATTTCTTTCATTTTTGGTGTACATTAAGAAGCTTCTTTCCACCATACATTGTCCAAGTTTCAATAAGATAGTCCAACAAACAAATGAGATCCAGTTCCCTAGATCAAGAGCAAGTGCCCCTCACCAGCATCAAGGAACCTCCCTTGAGGCCCGCTCGCTTATGGAAATTTCGCTCGCGTTTGGAAGCAAAAAATCGACCAATTGATTCCTCGTATTTGGAAAAACTCGCACGTGGATGTGCTCGCAAGTAGAGGTTCCACTGTAATAGAAACAATGAAGAATTTTATTCTACCTCAAATTCCTTGTTCTTTTGCTTGTTGGCAAAACGTTTAGAGATGTTTATATGACTACTGAGCAGTAGATAGCTGTGAATCATCACTTTGTTTAATGAAATGACAGTTGTGGGGTCACTTGTTTGTTGAGATTAGAGAGCCACTACAGCATGCTCCATATTAATTAAGCCAGAATCAACAACCAGATCACCCCAGGCCATAAAATTTCTGAAGAAAAAGAACTTTTATGCCATACCCACATTTTTTAAATTTTTACAGACTGTAAACCCAGGCAAAACTATTTGAGTATTTTCTGAATATAAATACGACAGCCTGGTATTGCAAAAAAAAAAAAAATGGCTAACATTCTTTTAAAAATGCTCTATGTAAGTGCACATTATGAGCAGTCTGGATGTAAATTTAGGTTTGTGAATTTATGTGGGAAAGGATAAGAATGAATATGAAGAATATACATGACCTTCATATGAAAGAGGATAATTAAATAAAAGTTAATCTAACAGAAACTCTTTCCAGGACCTGCTTCCCAGTCTGCACATTACCATAGCTTACTGGAGTAAGATATGCAGAAGGAAATGAAGAATAAACTCAAAGACAGGGATGCCATAAGCACATTTGTGGAAGAAACTTAGAAGCTTTCAAGGGGGAAAATGGACTACCATCTTTTGCAAGTGCCTGATCAGTGTGTGATGGCTATGTGGGCCTGCAGGCCATCTTCACCAAAAGCCTGGCAGACTAAGCAGTCAATAGGAAAGTCTGGCCTCAGCCAGGCTGTGAGGATACAAGAACCCTCAGAATATGTTACAAGTAAGTTGCTCACTTTCACTTGTAGGGGGTCAGTGTATTCAAGTCTATAAATATTTTGTGTGTAATTATTACCAGAGATTGACCATGATGGTAAACATCCATGATATAAAAGTCCAGTTATGGAAGGAAGCAGTTGAGTTTTTATCATTTAGACCACCTTTCTTAGGGCAAGTTAAACTCTAGGATAGTTGGATTGCCAGTCTGGTCAGTGGTAAAGTAACTAAAAGGCTAAGTTTGATTGATAAACAAAGTAAGATGCATGGGCAGATCATTTTAATACCTACCCCTGTTCACCTAGCAGTAAATAGGTACCTGGTTGTTAGCTTTGGTGGGTTGCATCCATAGGAAATCCTGCAATGGGAATAAGTCATACTAATGCTTTTTGGGGTATCCTGGGTCAGGTTAATAACTTTCCTGGTCTAATAACCCTAAGGGTGTTGTCTTCTATTTCATCTATTGTGACAGTTCAGCCTTGCCTATTTGAATTTCTAAAGATATAATTATAATTACTATTGCAGTAGTTTCTTGCAGTTCTAGCCAGAAAAGCATCTTGTTCAAGTCATCAAACAATACATCTGCATTGTGATAAAGTAATGAAGAGGCTGTATAAACACTATAAATGCTGATAGCCTCAGAAGAAGGGCAGATAGTTTGTTCCATTTATGACAGGATTTAAAGAGGTACTTGAGTGCATTGATGAAACGATAACCCTTAAGATTTTACTCGAAGTGATGAGTATTACTTATCTGTTGTATTCTTTTGTTAAATATGAGGGTGTTAAAACACTTGTAAGCAAACAGTAAAACAATTTAATGGTGTACAGAGAATTGACTAGTTAAGATAGGCATATTAGTGACTCAGTAATATTGAAAAATATTTACTCTCATGGCTGGAGAATCACTAGCAGTAATAGTACAAAACTTAAGGGTAAATAAGACTATAATTTACCATTTTCACTGTTAAACAAATTTTATTTAGCTTTTTAACTACACCAAGGACAGGATATGAGGATCTTGAGCTATATCAGTCCCAATCTTAAAATACTCCAGGGAAGATTATTGCTGTATATCCAATACAGCAAAAATTTGTGATATTGAGTGATTTTGTTCTTTGGGTCGCCATAGATTGGTGTTAAATGGCCAGTGTAGTAAAAAAAAAATTTTGCTTATGAAAGATTGCTTTATTTAGAACACAGATTGTAATATTAAGCCTTCAACATTAATGGAAAATGATCCTGTAGACTACCATGGAGGAATGAGACTATCAGTACATGTATCAAAGCACAACATAATGACAGATCTTGTAAATGATTCAAGTTGCATTGCATGCATACTCAACTGAACCAATAATATTTTCTTAATTACATGATTGTGTAAATAAAACATTACACCATAGATGTATAGAGTGGCTTACCACACAGAGGAATGCTACAATGTTGCCATCGAATTAAGGGGTCAGTTGTGTAGCACCATGGGTAGGGTTCTTCCCCACCTGCATTTCTGCAGTAATTTTCTGCATTCTGCACCTCGGGGAACACGTTAGGAGGCCGGTGATGACTGTGTGGCTCCTGTGAGTCCCAGCGTTGGCAAGGAATGCCATTACTGGTTACATTCCTAGTTCCAAAATACCAGCGCCCACGTCCTTTCCTACAATCATCTGATGGAGAATGATCAAATGAAATATTATACTGCATGACTAATTTGAATCTGCTTTAATACACATACATGTCCCCTCAAGGAAGGTTCCTTGATGTTGGTGAGGGGCTCTTGATTTAGGGAATTGGATCTGTGCTCCAGTTCCCCGAATTAAGCCTGAATGCCTTCCACATATCCCCCCCCCAGGCGCTGTATAATCCTCCGGGTTTAGCGCTTCCCCCTTGATTATAATAATAATAATTTAATACACATATATAGTTGTATCATTACTAATAGCTAACAGAAAAGTATTTAATTTTACTTATATCAAATTTTCCATTTCAGCTGTGTTGGGTGAGGTAGTTAAACGAAGCCTGCCTGTGACATATGCCTACTATGGAATATCATTAGATGAGGAGAGTAATGGGTTCAATTCCTGTGAGTTTCACTCAAGATTCCTTCATCTGTGGCATACTACCATCAGTCTTCATTCAGCATTGGATTGAGATGGTAAAGTAAAATACACATTATCTATGATACGTATTATGTTTGTAGCAGGATCTCCCTTTCCATGTATGATTTCAGAACTTTTTTAAAAACAAGTTTATATCTCTGCACCTTTAGATTAACATTCTGGTCCATACCTACATAAAAAGTTTGAGACATCCTGATGTCATAGCCCTCTGACTTAGATATACAGTAGAACCACTCTGTGGATTCAGTTATCCACGGTTTACTATAATCCTTAATTTGCTTAATAATGACCCCAGAGCACAAAAGTAGCGACAGCAGTTCTTCAAGGTCTAAGTCTTGGACAGGCTGTAAAGTGCTTCCAATTAATGATGATTCAAGGCACTTGCATCTATGGAAATTGGGTTCTTTGATTACTAGTTGGGCTTCGTTAAAGTTCATCAGGTGGTTGGCAGAATTCCAGTGTTGTACACAGGCACTGTTCATTCCTACATGCCTTTGTGTTCTCTGATATGTGTTTCAAAGTTTCCTGCCATTTCCCCTACATATATTCTGTCACAGCCTCCACAGGGAATAGTATAAACCTCTGCATTGATTGGATCAATGTTTATTAATTTTGTCCTAGTCAGATCTTTCATGGAAGTACTAGTGTTGGCTTGTGCGAGCACTTTAGACATTCATTGCAACCTGGCTGCAAGGAAGAATTATAACCTTGTTAGGAGTAGTGTAGTGTGTGGAGAATTGATGATCTGAAGAGCTCTTTTCTTGCAATCTTTGATGAAAAAAGGAAGTGAAATGTAGATCAGTGAAGGTTTGGAGTATGTAAGTACACCTTATCAAATAACTCTGGAGTACAAATTTGGTATGGTCTTAGGAAAAATCCAGTGATGATGCCTCTTTTGGGTTTAGTATCTTGACTGGAATAGAAATGTGTGAGATTGTTTTGTTTGTTGATTTCCTGTACTCTTGAAACCTTAGACTGTTATCTGACCATACCACAGGCGGGGATAGAACCCGCGATCAGAGTCTCAAAACTCCAGACCGTTGCGTTAGCCACTGGACCAGCTAGCCACAATAAGATTCATCCAACTAGGTATATTTCTACACCATAGGAAGGTTAGCATAGGCACCACTGTGACCACAAATGCAAGTTTTTACAGACAAATCTCCAGCTAGCGAGGCCATGACGAACTCTAGCTCAAGTCCCCTCAAAGCCGTTAACATGACTCGCAAAATCGTAATGACACGATTGCAAATAAACCATACCACAGGCGGGGATAGAACCCGTGATCAGAGTGTCTCAAAACTCCAGACCGTCGCAGTAGCCACTGGACCAGCTAGCCACAATAAGATTCGTCCAACTGATCGCGGGTTCTATCCCCGCCCGTGGTATGGTTTGTTTGCAATCGTGTCATTACGATTTCGTGAGTCATGTTAACGGCTTTGAGGGGACTTAAGCTAGAGTTCGTCATGGCCATGCTAGCTGGAGATTTGTCTGTAAAAACTTGCATTTGTGGTCACAGTGGTGCCTATGCTAACCTTCCTATGGTGTAGAAATATACCTAATTGGACGAATCTTATTGTGGCTAGCTGGTCCAGTGACTAATGTGACGGTCTGGAGTTTTGAGACTCTGATTGCAGGTTCTGTCCCCGCCCGTGGTATGGTTTGTTTGCAATCATGTCATTACGATTTCGTGAGTACTGTTATCTGCCTTGTGAATGAAGACGTCTAGAAAAGGTAACTTGTCATTGGACTCTTCTTCGAGTGTAAACTGGATAGCCAGTCCATCTGCATTGAGCCTCACCTAAAGATTCCGCACATCAAAACATTTGGGAGTTATTGTGAGGACGTTGTCCACATAATATAACTAAGTGATGCTGGTGAAGCGTTCAATTTCCAGGTGTTCCATATATAAGTTGTTTAAGACGGCACAGATGGGGGACCCCATTCCCATACCATAGGTTTGTTTGTGGAGCCTGTTATTGAAAGAAAAACAATTGAAATTAATGCAGAGTTTAGTCAGGTCAACAAAATCTCTTGGAGGTTGAGGAAGATTAAGGTCCTGATTGAATCTGTTGGAGAACATAAATGGCTTGAGTGGTGGGTACTCTAGCATTCAGGCGACCACCTCAATTGCATCAGAAACCTCTCCATCCAAAACAAGAAAGTAAGTTTAGACTTGACTTCCCTCTTCACTAAAGTACCCATCAAACAAGCCAGTGACGTTCTCTGATGTAAAGTCAATTAGGACCTAAATCTTCCTTTACTTCCCAGAGATTTCATTGACCCGACTGAACTCTGTACGTATTAATTTCAACTGCTTTCTTTCAATAACAGGCTCTACAAACAAACCTATGGTATGGGAATGGGGTCCCCCATCAGTGCCATCTTGGCCAACTTGCATACGGAACAACACCTGGAAGCTGAATGCTTTGCCAACATCATCCCTGCCAGTGTTACTTGGTTATGTTATGCAAATGACATCCTCATAATTCCCAAATGATTTGATGTGCGGAATCTTCAGGGAAGGCTCGATGCAGCTGAACCAGCTATCCAGTTTACACTTGAAGAGTTCAATGACAAGTTACCTTTTCGAGATGTCCTCATTCACAAAGTAGATAACACTAAGGTTTCAAGTTTACAGGAAACCTGCAAACAAAAACAATCTCTCACAGTCAAGATACTAAGAGCAAAAAGAGGCATTATCATCGGATTTTTCCTAAGAGAATGCTGAATATGTAATCCAGAGTTTTTTGACAAGAAGTGTACTTACCCCAAACCTTCACTGATCTACCTTTTTCATCAAAGACTGCAAGAAAGAGCCCTTCAGATCATCAATTCTCCACACACTTACACCACTCCTAACAAAGCTATAATCCTTCCCTATGGCCAGGTTGCAATGCATGTCTCTAAAGTGCTCACACAAGCCAACACTAGTCGCCATTGCAAATAGTGCTTCCATAAAAGATGTGATTAGGATGAAATTGAAAAACACTGATCCAATCAATGTAGGGGTTTACACTATCCCCTGTGGAGGTTGACAAAATACATGTAGGTGAAACAGCAAGAAACCTTGAAACATGTCTCAGAGAACACACCCTGTATACAACACCGGAATTCTGCCAACCACCTGATGAAATCTAACGACACCCATCTAGTAATCAAAGAACCCGATAAAATTAAGTAGAATAAATGCAGCTTCATCATCTCTGAAGTACTGGCAAGAATTCTCAAAACGATAAAACCTGCCATCATGTAGCTGCTGCTACTATCACCTGTCATTTACACAACCTGCACATAGAAGAGAGGAGCTTACGACGCTGTTCCGGTCCGACTTGGACCATTTACAAAGTCTCACTAACGAGAAGTAGAGCAGGACAGGTGTATATATAGGCAGGAAGAGGTAGAGGTGGTAGTAGTGGGGAATAAAGGAGGAGGAGCCAGTCGAATACAAAGAAAGGGGAGCACTGCAAGGGAGCTTGGTGCCCAACAGAGGTGGGGTGGAGGGGAAGTAATGAAATAAATAATGAAGGAACAGAAACCCAAGACAGAAGGAAGAGGGAGAAGAAGAAGGAATCAGGTTAAGTCACGGGTGTTCTGAAGTTTGGCGCATTTTACAATGCAGTGGGAGAGGAAGGCAACTACAGAGACGAAGCCAGGACTAAGATTCATACAAGGAAAGTTGTGTATTAGGGAGGATAGTTCTAGCAAAAGACCAGTCAATAGGATGGCTGTGATCTCTGACGTGACAGAAAAGAGCATTGTTAGTGTCGGCAAGCCTAACACTATTTTTGTGCTCCCTAAGTTTGTCAGAAAGTGATAGACCAGTTTCTCCAAAGTATTGAAGAGGACAGGAGGAGCAAGAAATAGAGTAGACACCAGGAACATCTGTAGAGGGAGGAGAGGTACGAACGAGATTAGTGCGAAGAGTGTTAGTCTGGCAGAAAGTAAGCTTGATGTCTAAGGGACGGAGAGAATTGTTGAGATTAGAAAGACCGGAAATGTAGGGAAGGCAGAGGACAGAAGAGTTCCCAGGAGTAGAAAGTTTGGGAGAGAAGAAATTACATTTAGCACATGAGAGGGCAAAGTCTATGAAATGGGAAGGGTAGCCAAGACGGGAAAACGAATTATGAAGAGTGGAAATTTCTGCTGGAAGGAACTGAGGATCACAGATGCGGAGGGCACGGAGAAAGAGGGAGATAAGAACACTTTTCTTAACAGGGGAAGCATGATAGGAAAAGTAGTGAATGTACATGCCACTGTGCATAGGTTTGCGGTAAACAGAAAAGGAAAAACCTGTATCTGAGCGGTGGACATGGACATCAAGGAAAGGAAGCAAGGAATTAGATTCCCACTCAGCTTTAAACTTAATGGAAGGGGCAAGATTATTAAAAGGTTGGAAGAGACTGGAGTCATGAGGCCAGAGAGCAAAGACGTCATCCACATAGTGGAGCCAGGGTGAAGGGCACACATCGATGGTAGGAAGAAGAACAGTCTCGAAGTATTCCATGTAAAGATTAGCAAGGACAGGAGAGAGAGGAGAGCCCATAGCGACACCGAAGGTTTGAGAATAATATTTCCCTAGGAAGGAAAAGGAATTAGAGTCCACACAGAGGCAGATAAGATCAAGAAAGACATAATAGGTATAGGGAGATGTAGAAACCCTTCATGGGCCTTCTCTCTAAGAAAATCAAGGACATCATCAAGAGGGACTCAACGTCAAGACTAAGCATCTTACAGGTCGGGAGAGAGCGAACCCATTCAATGAAGTGTTGAGAGTGACGGAGGTGGGCAGGAGAAAAAGTACCAAGAAAGGGAGTGAGGGTTTTGGCCAATCAAGAAAATAAGAGACAGAACCTCTAGAGGATATGATAGGACGTAGAGGAATATCAGGTTTATGACTTTTGGGAAGGCCATAGAAATAGGGAAGAGAGGGATAGATGACACGAAACCTTTGAACAAGGCCAAAGTCAGGAGAACAGAGGTCGGAGAGAGGCCTTAGATTCTTGTTGAAAGTTCTCTTGATGCGATCAAGAGGGTTGGAAACGAGAGGAGTGTAGGTACGCGAGTCAGAGAGCAAGACATCAGCTTTACGGAGGTAATTCTCACGATCAAGGATAACTACTGAATTACCTTTGTCAGAAGATAGTATGACAATGTTAGCGTTAGATTTAAGAGAAGAAAGGGCAAGCCGGTAATGGCGCAGAAGATGGTGGTTCTTAGAAAACAGACTATCAAGAGCAGGAAGGAGAGCGCCACGAAAAGTGGACAAGTCAGGGCAATACCAGCGCGAGGGATAGGTGAAGTGGCAAAGGAAAGGCCAAAACCAAGAAGTTCAAGCTCATGTTGAGACAGAAGACAAGTTAGTAACACAGTCAGTGAGGGAGAACTTAGACCAAGGGCTAGCTGAGACGAAGTTTATTCTGTAGTTTAGAAGAATGAATTTGTGTATTCAGGCGAGCAGTGTCAAAGCCAATGGTAGAGAGAAGGTTACAGAGATCTTGTGGTAGAGCTGCAAAGAGAGCACGTTGATGCTGACAGAAAGTAAAGAAGGCATCTTCAGCCTGAGATTTATTAGAAAGAATGAGCTGTTGAAGTAGGATATGGGCATGATCAGGAAAGGGAGTGCCCAGTGGGTTGGGTTCCAGGAAGGGGGCAGAACTTGTTCAGCAAGACAAGCAAAGCTGATTCTTACAACGTCGATGTCCTTGATTTTCTTAGAAGGCCCATGAAGGGTATTCTCCCTATACCTATTGATGTCTTTCCTGATCTTATCCGCCTCTGTGTGGACTCTAATTCCTTTTCCTTCAGAGGAAAATATTCTCAAACCTTCGGTGTCACTATGGGCTCTCCTGTCCTTGCTAATCTTTACATGGAATACTTCGAGACTGTTCTTCCTACCATCGATGTGTGCCCTTCACTATGGCCTCATGACTCCAGCCTCTTCCAACCTTTTCTTGAAGCTCTTAATAATCTTGCCCCTTCCATTAAGTTTAAAGCTGAAAGGGAATCTAATTCCTTGCTTCCTTTCCTTGATGTCCATGTCCACCGCAAACCTATGCACAGTGGCATGTACATTCACTACTTTTCCTATCATGCTTCCCCTGTGCCCTCTGCATCTGTGATCCTCAGTTCCTTCCAGCAGAAATTTCCACTCTTCATAATTCGTTTTCCCGTCTTGGCTACCCTTCCCATTTCATAGACTTTGCCCTCTCACGTGCTAAACGTAATTTCTTCTCTCCCAAACTCTCTACTCCTGGGAACTCTTCTGTCCTCTGCCTTCCCTACATTTCCGGTCTTTCTAACCTCAACAATTCTCTCCGTCCCTTAGACATCAAGCTTACTTTCCGCCAGACTAACACTCTTCGCACTAATCTCGTTCGTACCTCTCCTCCCTCTACAGATGTTCCTGGTGTCTACTCTATTTCTTGCTCCTCCTGTCCTCTTCAGTCCTGTGGAGAAACTGGTCGATCTCTTTCTGACAGACTTGGGGAGCACAAAAATAGTGTTAGGCTTGCCGACACTGACGTGACAGAAAAGAGCATTGTTAGAGATCACAGCCATCCTATTGACTGGTCTTCTGCTAAAACTGTCTTCCCTACTTCCAACTTTAACAGTCGCCATCTGGTTGAATCCTCCCTAATATACAACTTTCCTTGTATGAATCTTAGTCCTGGCTTTGTCTCTGTAGATGCAGTCCTCTCCTACTACATTGTAAAATGCTCCAAACTTCAGAACACCCGTGAATTAACCCAATTCCTTCTTCTCCCTCTTCCCCTTTTCTCTTCTGTTTGTTCCTTCATTATTTCCCCTCCCTCCATTGGGCACCTTACAGTGCTCCCCTTTCTTTGCATTTGACTGGCTCCTCCTCCTTAATTCCCCACTACTACCACCACCTGTACATACCTGTCCTGCTCTACTTCTTGTTAGTGTAACTTTGTAAATGGTCCAAGTCAGACCGAAACGTCATTGTAAGCTCCTTTCTTCTATGTGTGGGTTATTTGTGTATCATTCCAGTCACGGTATTGTCTTTTTTTGTTACCTATCTTTTACACACCTCTGTGTTCCTGTATTGTTTGTAATGGCTTGACGAAGCTCGAGTGAAACATTGCCACAATAAAATGTCACATTAGTTGCACTTGTCCTTTTACATAACATACTGTCAGCAATTCAACCAACATTATTACAGTTGCATTAATGTTGGTAGAATTACCGACAATGTCACAAAAAAGGACAAGTGCAACTAGTGTGGCATTTCATTGTGGCAACATTTTGCTCTCCAGAAGCCATTACAGTTTGACAATGCTCCTGAGAATGTAACGTTTCCACAATAAAATGTCGCATTTGTTGCATTTCTGTTCTTTTTACCTAACATTATTACAATTCATGATAAATGCTGGTGATAAGCTGAAGTCATAGACTGTGGATGTTCTCTAATTGTACCTGTGATGCCCCTGCTTTTCACTTCTATATCAATCACTCTACTGAGTGATCGATATAGAAGTGCTTTGAAGCATTACTGGGAATGCCTCAAAGTACTTGGACTCTTTAGAATGGAGAAGAGATAGGTGATAATATATACAATGAAAATACCCATGAGCCTAGGCCTTAATCTCTACATTACAATCAACAACTTACTGGAGTGAGTGTTGTTGAAGTGCAGACTAAGCCAGTGAAGGATATATTTTTTTTATAACAAGTTGGCTGTCTCCCACTGGAAGTGTGAAGACACTAATTGAAAGGGCCCCTTCATTACTACATTTCACCCATGGGCAGGGTGAAATGTAGCAATAATACATATCAAAAATGGGATAAAAAGGCGAGGTACATTGATATATATTATATGTAACAAGTTGCCCGTCTCCCACCAAGGCAGGGTGACCCAAAAAGAAAATACAGTGGACCCCCGCATAACGATTACCTCCGAATGTGACCAATTATGTAAGTGCGTTTGTACGTGTATGTTTGGGGGTCTGAAATGGACTAATCTACTTCACAATATTTCTTATGGGAACAAACTTGGTCAGTACTGGCACCTGAACATACTTCTGAGTGAAAAAATATCGTTAACCGGGGGTCCACTGTACTTTCATCATTCAACACTTTCACCTCACTCATACATAATCACTGTTTTTGCAGAGGTGCCCAGAACACTAACAGTTTAGAAGCATATACATATAAAGTGCAGGCTATATAAAAAATAACCGGTTTCCCTGAATCCCTTCACTAAATATTACCCTGCTCCCACTCCAACAGCTCGTCAGATCCCAAATGCCATTCATCTCCATTCACTCCTCACATGCTTGCTGGAAGTCAAGCCCCTCACCCACAAAACCTCCTTTACCCCCTCCCTCCAACCTTTTCGAGGACAACCCCTACCCCGCCTTCCTTCTACAGATTTATACGCTCTCCATGTCATTCTACGTACTTTGATCTATTCTCTCTAAATGACCAAACCACCTCAACAACCCCTGTAATACTTTTATTAACTCCACACCTTCTTCTAATTTCCACACTCCGAATTCTGTGCATAATATTTACACCACCACACACTGAGGTACTGAAGCCAGCCTATAGTGCACACAATATTTTTAGTAGCATTTATATGTTTTAATTTACATTGAGCAACTATTCTTAACCTTATTGTTCTCTTGGAACAGTAGCTTTAAATGTGAGTGGGAATGTCTATGCTGCATAATGCATTATTGATGGTACTGATGTAGCAGACGTACTTTTCATTAACACAAAGTACACCTGTAGCATCAGAACATAACACACTTGTGTGATACATAAGAACACTTCCTCACATCTTGTGGACTGGGAACAAGCTGAGCTAAACATCACTGATTAAAACCACACCAGCAGAAAGTGCTCAGAAGCACTTCTAACTATGACTAGACACTATTCCTTAGGAAAGAAGAGCTTTGACCCTCACCCATGTCATACTCAAGAATAGGAACATCAGACTAACACACTTGTCTAACTCAAGCCTCAAATCAATATTCCTGGGTAGCAGAGCACCACAGTAGGTCTAGCAGACCTTTCATGCATCAACCACTTTCACCTAACACATTACTCTCCTCTCTATATATGTTAGCATGGCTGATCGATTTTCAGAATGTTTACATGTGAACAAAATGTGTATCTAACTCTTAACAATAAATGTTCTGTTTTTCTTGTGTTTTTTTCACTATTTGTCATCTATTGCAACAGTTTTACATTACCCAGGCAAAATACATATTATTTGTGGAGCATCTTTCATAGGACTTATATAATGGATATCCTTGGGAATTAACACAAAGGAGTATTTTACATGTATTCTAAATTTCCCAATTAAAAATAACGTGCCTGAATCTGCTTAAACAATTTTTTCTCCCATACTGACATAAACCTGAAGAACTTACATGTAACCTGGTCTTCATCAACAGACGTAAGGCCAATATGCGAACAAACGCGGCGGGAACCGTCACCATGATTGACCAGTGTGTCACAATTTGGCAGACGAAAGTGGCTTCGAGACTTAAACACTATATTTTCCTGTAAAGGAAATTATTTAATGTAACAATATTTCATCACAAGTTATTAGGATCACAGAAATTTTCATGCAGATGTAAGCAAACTGTAAAATCAATTAATCCCAAGAAAATACTTTCAACAAGTAGCTAGGCAGGGCATTATATTCAGCTCTTGGGCATGGCTAACCCAAGTCAAGCTGTGAAGGATTAAGGACAAATATGGATACCCAGTGGGAATCGGTTTGAGAAGAGGAAGACTCCAAGTATGGGGAACCCCCATGGAAAAAGGATAACCCTCAGGGCATGAGAGCACTGAAACGAGAAATGCCCAGTGAATGGCAACTGATTTTATTGTAGTTGTAAAAACAAAGATGAGACAAATAATTTCATTTCAAGTGACAAACCTGTATGGGTCATGTAAAAGAATGAAGAATTAGACATACGGTGGACCCTCGTTTTTTGTAAGGCTCGAAAGTCGTAATTTTTTTGAAATCTTAACTTTTTTTCGTCAAAACATTGACTCGCAAATAATCGTTCATCACAGACACGTACTCAGGGCCCCGAGCCGCCTCACACTCCATTCCCAGCCAGTGTGGCATTGTTTACCAGTGAGTGACCATCCCCTCACGTGTTCATACGAAATATTTCATAATATTCCATTCATTTTAGTGCTTGCAAATGCTAAATAAGCTACCATGGCTCCAAAGAAAGCTCCTAGTGCCATGCCTTTGGTAAAGTTGAGAAATATGATTGAATTCAAGAAAAACATCATTGAACAATATGAAAAAGGCGTACGTGCGGCAGAACTGACCAGGATGTATAAGAAACCCCATACAACCATAGCTTCCATCATGGCCAAGAAAAAGGAAATCAAGGAAGCTGTTGTTGCAAAGGGGGTAAATATGCTGACAAAAATGAGATTGCCAGTACTCGAAGATGTTGAGAAGTTATTGTTGGTGTGGATCAACGAGAAACAATTAGCAGGAGATAATCTTATGCAGTCGCTTATTTGTGAAATGGCTAGGCAGTTGCATGACAATCTCATAAAGAAATTGCCTGCAACAAGTACTGATATTTGCGAATTTAAGAACTGTAGTGGCATACACAGTGTGATAAGGCCTGGTGAAGCCTGCCAGTTCTGACAAAAATGCAGCTACAAAATTCGTAAGTGAATTCAAGGAGTACATACAGACTGAACAATTAAAACCCCAACAAATGCCAAAGAGGACCTACATTACTCAGGAGGAAAAGACACTGCCAGGACACAAGCCTATGAAAGACAGGCTGACTCTCATGTTTTGTAGTAATGCTAATGGAGATTTCAAAGTGAAGCCGTTACTAGTGTACCACTCTGAAATCCCAGAGAGTGCAAGAAAAACAATGTCATGAAGAGTAAATTGTGTGTGTATTGGAAAACTAATAATAAGGCATGGGTCACGAGGGAAATTTTCCTCGGGTGGTTCAATGAAGTGTTTGGCCCGAGTGTGAAGAATTACCTCCTGGAAAATAAATTGGATCTCAAGTGCCTCCTGCTAATGGACAATGCACCTGCTTATCCTCCAAACTTGGATGACCTAATTCTGGAAGAGTTTGGGTTCATCATAGTGAAGTTCTTGCCCCCTAATACCACTCTCCTCCTCCAGCCCATAGACCAGCAGATCATTTCAAACTTTAAAAAACTCTACACCAAAGCAATGTTTCAAAGGTGCTTTAATGTGACCTCAGACACTCACCTGACCCTAAGAGAGTTTTGGAAAGATCACTTCAGTATCCTCCATTGCATAAGCCTTACAGATAAGGTTTGGGAGGGAGTGACTACCAGGACTTTGAACTCTGCATGGAGAAAACTGTGGCCAGATTGTGTCCACAAGAGGGATTTTGAAGGGTTTGGGGCTGACCCTGACAAGCCTATGGCAGTTGTGGAATCTACTGTGGCATTGGGGAGTTCCATGGGGTTGGATGTGAAAGAGTTGGTGGAGGACCACAATGAAGAACTAACCACTGATGAGCTGCAAGAGCTTCAGCTGGAACAGCAACAGACTGCAGCTCAGAATATTGCTTCAGAGGAGGAGGAAGAGAGATGGAAGAAGTTGCCTTCTTCAGAAATTAAGGAGATTTTTGAAATGTGGAGTAGGATGGAAAGATTTATGGAGAAACATCACCCTGACAAAGCTGTTGCAAGCCATGTCAGCAACATGTACAGTGACAGAGTCTTGGCCTATTTTAGGGAGGTTTTAAAGAGATGCCAGAAACAGAGCTCTCTGGACAAATATTTAGTGTCACAGGTGTACAGTGACTCTCAAGCTGGTCCTAGTGGCATTAAAAAACAAAGAAGAGAAGTAACTCCAGAAAAGCACTTGGTACCTGAAGTCTTTATGAAAAGGGATTCCCCTTCCAAACAGTAAATAATCCAGTCTTCCATACACTAAGAAGAATCGCCAATAAAGGTAAGTGTTATGCTGTTAATGTTTCATTCATCATGTTCCATTGTTTTGTGTATGTACATCTATATTTCACACAAAATTTTTTTGTTTTAATACTTCTGAGTGTCTGGAACGGATTAATTGTATTTACATTATTTCTTATGGGGAAAAATGGTTTCGCAAATCGTCAACTTCGATCATAGTCACACTTTCTGGAATGGATTAATTACGAAAAATGAGGGTCCACTGTATATGCAACATCTGGGTATCTTTATGAGAGAAGAACCAATAAAAAAGAGAAAGTAAAGCACATGGAGAACTGCTGGAAATTAATTTATATACACAGGGAGAACTCATAACAAACAATATGGAAGATTGGGAGCAGGATTAGAAAGCAGACTCAAAATAAAGCAATTTGAACTACCCTTCCTCCTAATAAGTCAAACCTGACTACTGCACCTCCCATTTATCAGGTACTCTATGGTTGCTATGGGTTTACTGCTTTCCCAGGAATATAATAGAGGAAGAATAGAGGTTGGGGAACCAAAAACAGAGAAAAAGCCTGTAAGGAAAAATAAATGAGAGATAAGAGTCCTGAGGCAGGACTGATGGCAAGAAGTTTCAAAATTGATAGTGCTGTCACTTAAAGGTTATTCATTAAAAGGCTTCAGATATATCTACCACACCACCTTAAATTGAGCAAAATAGTAAGGAATTCTGTATATATTAACATTTCATATTCAAACATTCCCCTCATGGGAGATGTCTGAATGCAGGTGGACTCTTGATCCTCTCTTTCTACAGATTTAACAATGTTAAAAGACTGTAATGCTTACCTGCTTACTCTGCTCTATCAGCAGCCACTCATTGACACAAAAGAGGCTCCGTACAGCCACACAGTCTTCGTGGCATAACGGTAAGCCCACTTGATAGCCATCTTCTAACTGACATTCAGGGAATGCATAATGGCAAAGAATCTTCTGAAAAAGGATAACAAAGACTTGTATAGGAATACTACAATCATCTTTTAAAGTTTTTAGTTCATACAGAATATACAAGTAGATTTTTAACTAAAACAAAAAACAGGAAACTGATAAAAGAGCATATTTAAGGAACTGCATGGTCAGCCATAATTATTAATTTTCATCTTGGCAATATTAATTTGAACACTAATTTAAACAAAGATTATAGAGTAAAAAGTTCTTATCATTTTTACAACAGAAGTGTACAATGAACATAGTACTGAACTTATTTTAGGAATAAATCATTATTAGCATCAGGATTTACTTACAGCCAAGCACTACATTGCCCAAACACAGTGCTTATGTTCTTGGAAACTAACCTGTTCAAATATTCTGGTGTAAAAATACAGAAAAAATAGGAATCATCTACAAAATAACAGCTTTATCTCTTCACCTCCACTTGCCAAAATCATCATAAAGAACATAGGTGTTACCATTACTACATCCAGCACCATCAAGACTTGACCAGGCAAAAAGATAACAGCCACGATCATGACTACACAGGTGTCCACATCATTCCATGTGGTGATTTTAACCAGAAATACCTAGGAGAAACCTCTCATGGCCTACTGATTAGGCTGCAAGTACACCAGTGTGACTGCAGGACTTACAACATGAACAACACCTGCATGATACACTGGGACCAGACTGCACACCTCATGTCTTAGAAGGATGCCTAACTGCTCATTAAGGAAATGGACAAAACACACCACAGATTCCTGCAAGCAACACTAATCTATACACAAATTTCAATCTAACAGAATTAAGGAACTTTCATTTTAGCCCAACCTAAACAGGCCATCAGAAGGACCAACAGGCCTCCTGCAGTGCCTCTTTCTGACATCACTGGCACATAGTAACTTCACTGACCCAGTAACCCACCTGACTACACTTGTACAAAGTTACTTGTACATTCTTGTGTAAAGACTCAAGATTCCTGTTCCACAGGCAAAATGTCTATAAAATTTGTCTCTGTAATTGTCTTTTTTCACCATCCCAATACAGCCTCTCCTCACTTAACGATGGAGTTCTGTTCCAGAGACCAAGTCATTAAATGAATTCGTCACTAAGTGAGGAGCAAACTATAATGGTGGTGAGTTTGTGTCAACCATCTTTGATATTGTTTTAATGTCACCTTTGCATCATTTATAACATTTCTGGTATATTTTTAAATGTTTATACAGTAGTGTACTGTATACTGAAATAAACAGAATAGAGGAAATCAGCTCAAATATACATTATTTAGGTGTGAATACTTGTCAGAGAGCCCATCGTAAGTCTGAGGCGTCGGTAAATGAGTACACTGCTAAGTGAGGAGAGGCTTTACACCATTATAATTAACATGTATCTACTGTATAATGTTAAATCATTATATGCCAGAAGCTAATTTTACTGATCAAACTATGCTGGTTATTGAGCAACACAGGAACCACATAAATTATTTTTATCAATTTACCTCAGCTGCAGTCCTACATGGCTCACGAAAATTATTTATCATTTCACCCCAGAGTTCTCGGGTAATGTGTTCGTTGAGCCATCCTCCTTTATCAGCTGCAGTAATGTTGTACCATACTAGTCCTGCACCACTTAGGTGTTCTCGACACACTCTTCCATTGTAGGGTGCACAGTAACCCAGTGGTCGTCGTACAGCTGTTAATAACCACAGTGAGAATAAAAAACTTGCAATAATATGGCAGGAAAAATACACAACCCACAAACTGGAGTAAGAACTAGATGACAGTGATAACAATCTGGGTGAGGCAGTTTTAAATTCAAATTTATGACTTAGTTGTGAATAACATTTTTATATCAATATTAAGAGAAAGTATCACTGACAAAAATCATTAAGTTGGGTTATTAATATTCTTATAAAACCCTGTTTTATTTATCACAAATAAACATGGCTCTTTCTAACTTAATTAAACCCTTCATGACATGTGTTCTGCATTTTTTAATATAATAAAAATGATCAAAGTAAATATATTTAAACTTAAAATTTAAATGTATTACAGGTGGACCCCCGCATTAAACGATGGCATCGCATTACATTTTTCTACCCAGAATTAAGGAATTCATTTTATCGCCCAAAAATTGGCCATACAGAAGAAAACCGCCTACCGATTTTCTGACATCACGGCAATAGTACCTTCACTGCCGGCGTACCACGATTCTTTACAGCCAGTACTTGCCTTGTGTAACACCAAGATTACACTCGGCAAATATTTTTTCCGTAATTGATTACCATTGTTTATACGATGGTGTTTCTCGAGAAATTAAGTGAACCATGGGGGCGGGTGAGCCAAAGATATTGTTTTATGCCAACTTTGTACATTAAAAAGGGTATAGTAAATTTTTAGTATGGAAATTAAAGGGGAAAAGATTTTAATGATTTGGGGAATACTTGCAGAGAGCCCATCGAGTTGTGGATCCTTGGTAACGAGTACATCAATGGGGAATTAAGGATAATTGTGTACTAGGGGTTTAATGCTAAATCTTTATAGAGAACAATTACCTGATCAAACTTGCAAGCCTGCTTAGTGACTATTCAATGACAATAATTATAGTCATTTTAGTGAAAGTCTTGAAGAAAGGTTCAGTTCCCCCAGAGCTCAAATGGTCGTTAGATCTCTTTATCAGCTGCAGAGGTCCATGACTTCCCTGCAACTGGTGTCTCGGCATCTTAATTGTAGGGGAAGTAACCCAGTGGACTTCGCTACACTGTTAATACCAATGGAATAAAATCCTTCTAATAAGGAAATAATGCTACTCACCCCCTGCATAGAACTAATCATGATACACAGCAGTTTTAATTCAAATTTATGACTTAAAGTTGTGAATAACATTTTTTCAGTTTGTGTGTATCTGAAAAAACATTTAAGTGGGTTATTAAAATTTTTTTTCATACCTTTTTGCTTTCACGAAATTAAACTTGGTTATTTCAATTAATTTAACCTTATGACATGTTTCTGCATTAATTTTAATAACAATGATTCACGAAAATAATAAAATCAGTTAACTGTATTATATCTAAAATCTTCTTCTTTCTTTCAACAAACCTGTTGTATCTCACTGAGGCAGGGTGAACCAAAAAGAAAAACAAAAGTTTGTCTTTTTAACTTCAGAAATATATACAGGAGAAGGGGTTACTAGCCTCTTGTTCCTGGCATTTTAATCGCCTCTTATGACACGCATGGCTTACAGAAGAAGAATTCTGTTCCACTTCCCCATAGAGATAAGAGCAAATAAACAAGGACAAGAACTAAGAAGAAAACGCAGAGGGGTGTTTATATATATACAGTGGACCCCCGCATAACGATCACCTCCGAATGCGACCAATTATGTAAGTGCGTTTGTACGTGTATGTTTGGGGGTCTGAAATGGACTAATCTACTTCACAATATTCCTTATGGGAACAAATTCGGTCAGTACTGGCACCTGAATATACTTCTGGAGTGAAAAAATATCGTTAACCGGGGGTCCACTGTATATGCTTGTACAGGTCGGCCATCACTAATCCGGCATCGCTGGGACCTGAAGTGAGTCTGCCGGATTACAGAGTGGTTAGGTTAGAATACACTTAATTAACCTATCAATAGAGACTCTTTCTGCTACATCTTCCTCATTTTCAGCATTGCTTTCTCATTCACTGGCTTGCTACAACCATATGGACAATTTCTGAGTCAGTATAATGATGAAATTTGAAATTATGCTGGCCGATATTAGTGCCGGATTACTGATGGAACAAGATAACTGACTGCTGGATTAGTGATGGCTGACCTGTACACACGTGTGTAGCATGACCTACGTGTAAATAAACGTAGCAAGTCATACCTGAAACCTTGTATGTTTATGAAACAGAAAAAAAGACACCAGAAATCCTACCATCATGTAAAACAATTATAGGCTTCTGTTTTACACTCACTTGGCAGAACGGTAGTAACTTCCTGGGTGGTTGCTGTCTACCAACCTACTACCTTGGATACCTAAAAATCATCATGTTAAATTTACTGGCAGTATACTGTGATCATGATTTTCACTATAATTCTGAGGATGTTATTTGATGTTTCTCTTTATTTTAACTTTTAAAACTTTCATTACCATACTAAAAAGTATCAAAACATTGCAACACCTTAACTGAAAACTTAATAAAACACATGCTAGTCTGCCAGCAAAAGTAATTCTTAGTTACCCAAATATGGTAGCGAGGACAAGTGTCTCGGTAGATGATGACTGTCACTAATTATGATGGAACTCTCTCATCCCTGACAGAGCACTGGTTTACAGGATTGTGTTTTTGGCACTGGGAATTGTAGTTACCCCTAGATCAAACCTGCTAACCTCTCAGTCCACAGGCATTCTAAGACCCCCATGGGTTTAGTGCCTCCTCATTAATATAATAATCATATATTGTTTTTAAATTAATGTAAACTCTTCATAAAAAAAGGATTCCAAAAATGAAATGCAATGATCACAGTACTAAAATTTAGATAATTTCAATATTATCATCAGGATCAGAATCAGAAGTTATCCAGACTTCATTATCCTCATCTAAATTGTCTCAAGGATCATCTGTGTCTAGTTGTGTATCCAAGTTAGTTTTGCAGTTACTTAACGAGTCACTCCTATGTTATCTAATGAGATATTTAACCCTTAAACTGTCCAAATGTAGATCTACATTCACATGCGTAGCGCTCCGAACGTAGATCTACTTTTTTTTTTTACATGCTTTCAAATGGAGAAAATAAAGGTTGGAGTGCTACGTACATAAATGTAGATCTACGTTTGGACAGTTTAAGGGTTAATTAAGACAGTTGTTGGTGCAATTTTTTAGTAATAAGGAGTTGCACAAGTCAGGGCCTGGGGCAAAGTGATAGTTTGGTTATCAATGACTTCTTCAACATTAAGGTCAGGCTTATATCAGAAATAACACATCAGTTTTTAAAACAGTTGTATCAAATTAAATTTTATTTACCTATCAGTGGGTGATACTGGAAGCTACAGCAACACAAAATCTGATGGTTTTGCTTCAAATACATACTAATTGAAAATGAATGTTGATGTGACTATGTTAAAAAAACTAAATATGCAATTCTTAAACAAAATGCAATTTTCAAGTATTTCAATGATAACATTGGCAAAGACAAAACAAGTGCTGGATATTATTTTTTGTAGCAACAATAAGTTATATTTGACAAGTAACAACCCATAAGTGGTTTGATTTAATAATCTACATGCTCCTTTGAGGAAGGTGCCTTAATGTTGGTGAAGGGCTCTTGGTCCAAGGATTTGGAGCTGCCCTTCATTTCCTTCAATCTTATTACCTCCCATTTCCCAGGTGCTATATGATCCCTATGAGTTTAGCTCTTTCCCATAAATTAAATAATAATCTACACAAGTTGAAGGTTTCCAAGGGATGTGTTTTCTGTACATCTGAGAGCTGACTACTGTACTGGGTATTCCAAAAGCTGAAATTGAATTCAAAATATATTAAATCATCAAATCTGATAACTTATAATTAAATATAATAAACATACCCCCTTAAAATGTATGCTAAAATACAAAATAAAGTATATGAGAGTATCGTACAGCACATGAAAATAGCTGGTACTCACGACTGACAGGATGTACTACAGAGACAGTAAATGTTCTGGAGTCTGAGGTTCTTCTGCCTTGAACAACATTGTCAGCAGAGCAAGTGTAGTTGGAGGTAGATGTGGCGTTCACTGTCAGAACTGATCGAGCATAATCTGTGAAGGGGGTGAACTCGATGCCATGTAAAACCTGCGATGTGAAATTAACAACATTTAGGCACTTTCCAAAAAACACTGTAATTCTCAGTGCATTTGTAAATACAATGGTTACAATATTTACTGGCTGACTTTTTTAAAAACTCCATATTTAATTTAGATTAATACTGAGTGGTTACAAATACAGTATCTAATATTATTCACATAAGTGACCTGAAATCATAACCAATGTACATTTAGGTATAAAACAGGTGCAACTTTTACAGCCAACTCTTACCCTTCAAGGAAGGTACCTTCATGTTAGTGAAGGGTTTCTGATCCAAAAAATAGGAGCTACATTTTCCTTGAATCAGATCTAATCTTGTATTTCCCAGGTAGATGGGGTACAAGGAGAATAGAAGCATCAGGGAAGAGAGAGGTGAAGGTTTATAAACTAAAAGAGGAGGCAGTTAGGGTAAGATATAAACAGCTATTGGAGGATAGATGGGCTAATGAGAGCATAGGCAATGGGGTTGAAGAGGTATGGGGTACGTTTAAAAATGTAGTGTTAGAGTGTTCAGCAGAAGTTTGTGGTTACAGGAAAGTGGGTGCAGGAGGGAAGAGGAGCGATTGGTGGAATGATGATGTGAAGAGAGTAGTAAGGGAGAAAAAGTTAGCATATGAGAAGTTTTTACAAAGTAGAAGTGATGCAAGGAGGGAAGAGTATATGGAGAAAAAGAGAGAGGTTAAGAGAGTGGTGAAGCAATGTAAAAAGAGAGCAAATGAGAGAGTGGGTGAGATGTTATCAACAAATTTTGTTGAAAATAAGAAAAAGTTTTGGAGCGAGATTAACAAGTTAAGAAAGCCTAGAGAACAAATGGATTTGTCAGTTAAAAATAGGAGAGGAGAGTTATTAAATGGAGAGTTAGAGGTATTGGGAAGATGGAGGGAATATTTTGAGGAATTGTTAAATGTTGATGAAG